CTTCCAGAACGGATTAAGTTCGTAAACAGTTCGTACAGTGGTACCTTGGTTCTCAAACTTAATCCGTTCCGGGAGTCCGTTCGACTCTTGAAACTGTTCAGAAACCAAGACACAGCTTCTGATTAGCTGCAGGAGCTTCCTGCACTCAATCAGAAGCTGTGTCAGATGTTTGGCTTCCGAAAAGCGTTCAAAAACCGGAACACTTACTTCCGGGTTTGCGGCATTCAGGAGCCGATTTGTTCGACAACTAAGCTGTTTGAGAACCAAGGTACCACTGTATGTGGTGAAGATTAGGCTTGGGTCTCTCACATTTACCCCAAAGGATATCTTCCTTATGAGCACAGTGGTACCTCTGGATACGAACAGGATCCGTTCCGGAGCCCCGTTCGCATCCTGAAGTAAACATAAAATGCGTCTGCGCGTGCCGTGTTTCGCCACTTCCACGGATGTGTGTGACATCATTTTGAGCATCTGCGCATGCGCGAGCGGCGAAACCCGGAAGTAACGCGCTCTGTTACTTCCGGGTTGCCGCGGAGCTCAACCTGGAAATATTCATCCCGAAGCTACTTCAACCCAAGATATGACTGTAAAGGCTAAAATCGGTGTAGGAAAACTTTTGCCTGTGAAGAGCTGTTGACCCATTGGGAAAGTCAACCTCGGGGCATTGTCAGTGATGGGGGGACTTTACAGTTCTGCAGGATTGTATCTCTCTTTCTGTCACCCCATCCCTACAGGCTACATGGAGTTAGGGCCACATGGAGGTAGTTCACAGGTCACATGAAGGCCACAGGTCCACGCCCCACTCCCAAAATAAAGGCATTTTTATTTTGGGAACTGATTTGCCTGGCTAAAGGCTAGATTTAGCTGTTCCCATTCAGTTCTACCGTGTCCTTGAGATTTGTCTGCTTCACAAAAGAGAATTCCAGCACATTTGGTATAAGAGCTTTTATCACAAGATGACGTCAATGTAGAAGAAATATATTAGCCTCCAAATCTGCTGTAAAAAGATTATGTGAATAGATCCATAATAAATGTGAATAGATCCATAATAAACCTTTGGGTGGGTGGGTGTGTAAGGAGGGGTAGAACTGGGGGGTGAATGCAAGCAAAGAGTGATACAAAAGCCTTGACAATCCATTTTTCAAAAAGTGAAGTGTATTATCTTAATTTAGATGCGTTAATTTTAGGCGCACTTTCAGCACTGCTGAGGCTTAATTTGCGTCATCAGGGATCTTCAAGGTGATTGACGCAGGATTTTTTTGATGAAAGGACCCTTGGTTACCAGAATTTTTTAATTTTGGTGGTGAGGTGCATTCTACAAGCGCACAGCTTTGTCTGCTACCTCGGGTCACAATTTTTGTGCCCCAGATTAAATTCCTGAGAACGGATCGCACAGAAGTAGGAGGGCTGACTTCTGGTTTTGGGAAGCACTTGGGCACCCTTTTGGTCTAAACCACTGAGCCTCTGGGGCTTGCCAATCAGAAGGTCAGCGGTTCGAATCCCCGCGGCGGGGTGAGCTCCCATTGCTGTGTTCCCGCTCCTGCCAACCGAGCAATTCAAAAGCACACCAGTTCAAGTAGATAAATAGGTACTGCTGTGGAGGGAAGGTAAACAGTGTTTCCGTGCGCTCTGGTTTCCGTCATGGTGCTCCATTGCGCCGGAAGCGGTTTAGTCCTGCTGGCCACATGACCCGGAAAGCTGTCTGTGGACAAACACCAGCTCCCTCGGCCTGAAAGCAAAATGAGTGCTGCAACCCCATAGCCTCCTTGGACCGGACTTAACCATCTAGGAATCCTTTACCTTTTACCTTTGTCCCTTTCCCTTTCCTTTTCAAACCCCACTCCTCCTCCACTCTTGGCACGACACCTTACCATTTGTTCCCTGGTTCTTTAAGTTCTCAAATATTTCTATTCTCCCTCCTTTCAGCTGGTAATATTTATTTATTGTTGCATTTACAGTGGTACCTCAGTTTAAGAACAGTCCAGTTTAATAACGATTCAGTTTACAAACTCTGCAAAACCGGAAATAGTGTCCCGGTTTGAGAACTTTACCTCGGCCTACGAACGGAAGCCAAATGGTGGAAGGGCACCGGTGGCGGGAGGCCTCATGAGGGAAAGCGTGCCTTGGTTTAAGAACGATTTTGCTTTAAGAACGGACTTCCGGAATGGATTAAGTGTAAACTGAGGTACCACTGTATATCCCACTCTTTTTCTCTGTGGCTTACGGGTTTCTCCCCCTTCTCATTTAATCCCCGTGACAACCCTGTGAGGTAGGTTAGGCTGAGAGGCAGCGACTGGCCCAAGGTCACCCAGTGAGCTTCGTGACCGAGTGGAGATTTGAACCCAGGTCTCCCAAGTCCTGGTCAGACACTCTAACCACTGCACCACACTGTCACTTGCTTGCCTTTTCGTCTTCTTTGGAGCTCCCTTTTCAGGGTGCTCCCTTTCTTCCGCCTGGTGTTGCCTTCCCTGCCGATGTAATTCACATCTCTTGTTTCTTCTCCCCACTCCCAGGCCACAGACCACTGCATGATCCCACTTTAAAAGCCACGGCTTCCCCCAAAGAATTCTGGGAACTGTAGTTTGTTAAGGGTGCTGAGAGCTTTTGGGACACCTTTGTCCCCTTCACATTCCCTGAATGGTTTTAACAATCAATTTCTCTTTACAGGGAACTCTGGGAATGGTAGTTCTAAGAGGGGAACACGAGGAGCCTTCCTTTGTGCATAAATCACAATGTTTTATGTCAAAATACACACATACATGGGGGCTAGGAAAGGACTGGGTTTTGACTTGCAAAAAATGTTGTGGTGTTGTTACTTTTATTAAGTCAAGGTTTACGATACTACTTTAAGTCGCTTTGGAAACTATAATCAACACATGGGCATAGCCGGGGGGGGCAGGGAGGGGCAGCTGCTCCCCCTCAAATCAATACAAATCTGAGGTTCTGCCCCCCTAACAAAAGCCTGCATCCCCTAACAAAAGCCTTCCCCCCCTTAACAAAAATCCTGGCTAGGACCATGACAGTATCTAAAAAACTCTTGTCAAATTGAAGATGTTCCTTGCTGTACTGGAAAACTGGGTTCCTAAATAAATACATTACTATCTTGATTGATTATACAATACCCTACATTTGCACATCTGCCAGGTGGATTAAAAACAAATCCTGCAGTATAAGTAGCATTTCATTTTTTGCACGCACCCTTTGCCCCATCTAATCTAATCAATCTGAATTTAGTCCCTTTGAAAACAATGGGTTGAAGTTTGCGGTTGCTACTTAATCTCTTCATCGCTTTCCATGGGATTTGGTCAAATATATTTTCAACTCGAGGTAACTCTTCCAGGTTAGTGGAGTTTGTAACCTGAAGCGTTTGTAACCTGAGGCGTTTGTAACTCAATGTACCACTGTGTTCAGCATCCTACATATGAAAATTTATTTTTCAGTACTCCCTACTGGTTCAAGGAAATATATAGAAAAAGGAAAATTCTCTGCATGCCATGATCCATGTTCGAGGCAAGGACTCTTTGGTGAGAGAACCCCAGCAGAGATCAAAAATGTAAAGAAAACACAAAGCAAAGCAAAGTGTACAAATACACATTTTCAGCGAGCATGCTGGGACCAGGGAGACCAGGGTTCAAGTTCCCACTTAGCCACATGAAGCGAATTGGGTGAACTTGGTCGAGTCACAACCTCTCGGCCCAGCCTACCGTACAGGGTTGTTGTGACAATAAAAAGGAGATGAAGCATGTTTGCCACCTTGAGTTATTTGGAGTGAAAGTGGGATATAAATGTTATAACTTGTATTCAATGCTAGTCCTACTTAGAGCACACCCACTGGAATTAATGTACATAATTTAAGCCCATTAATTGCATTGGGTCTATGCTCAGTAGGACTACAATGGTATATATACAGTGGTACCTCGGGTTACATACGCTTCAGGTTACAGGCGCTAACCCAGAAATAGGACCTCGGGTTAAGAACTTTGCTTCAGGATGAGAACAGAAATCGTGCTCCGGTGGCGCGGCGGCAGCAAGAGGCCCTGTTAGCGAAAGCACGCCTCTAGTTAAGAACAGTTTCAAGTTAAGAACGGACCTCTGGAACAAATTGAGTTCATAACTAGAGATACCACTGTACAGTGGTACCTCTGGTTACATACTTAATTCGTTCCGGACATCCGTTCTTAACCTGAAATTGTTCTTAAGCTGAAGCACCACTTTGCTAATGGGGCATCCCACTGCCGCTGTGCCACCGCCGTCCGATTTCTGTTCTCATCCCGAAGCAAAGTTCTTAATCCGAGGTACTATTTCTGGGTTAGCGGAGTCTGTAACCTGAAGCATCTGTAACCTGAAGCGTCTGTAACCCGAGCTACCACTGTATAGGTGACTCCCCATTTACGCGGGGTTACAATCTAGGCCCTCATGCATACACGAAATGACATAAAATGGGGAACGCCCTGCAGAGTACTCCTGGCTCGTGAGGAGACCAATCCCAGAGCCTGAAGAAGGCCTCCTCGTGAGCCAGGGGGGTAGTTGGGCTTTGTTGAGCTGCTCAGCCTCCCCGCCTAACAGCTGATATGCGGGGTACTGCAGCAGCAACAGCTGTTGCTTACCTGCTTGTCAGCTTAGGCCACCCTGTTGCCCCTCCAGTTTGCGCAGAGACCCTCCCCAGAGTCCCAAGAGGACGTCCTTTTTGGGCTCTGGGATTGTGTCCACACAAGCCAGGAGGGTTTACCTGGGTGCTCCCTATTTCTGGCTGCCACAAAGTATTTTGTTAAGGATATTTTTACCTAGGTTGTTCGTAAAGCTCCCTGTAGGTGCAGAATCCAACTCTGAAAATATCACCTAACTGCAAATCCTCTCTGAAGAAAGGAATTAAAAAACCAACCAACCCCCAAACCTAGGTTGGCTCCTGATTAAAAGAGGGAATGTCCACGAAATGTAAACCAGGAACAGGGCTTTGTTAGTGATTCATTTACACCAGTGATTCTCAGACTCCAAGAGGGGCTCGAGTGCATCTCTGTTGGTAGATGAGCAATGACGTCGTCCTAAGAGATGAAAGAAAGGTGCATCAGCTGACAGGTGTGGGGTGAGAGACCAGGGCACTGCCATTGGCCAGAAAACCTGGTCCCATTCCCTGAGTCTAGACTGACTTGTTGGACAGGAGGTGATATTAACTGGGTTGTCTGGCAGTTGCAAGGAGAATGCCCGCCTATTTTTCTGGACAGCAAAGGAGACAATTGCTCTTCTGTCATTCTTAAAAATGTACTGTACAATGGTACCTTGGGTTACATACACTTCAGGTTACAGACTCCGCTAACCCAGAAATAGTACCTCGGGTTAAGAACTTTGCTTCAGGATGAGAACAGAAATCATGCTCCGGCGGCGCAGCGGCAGCAGGAGGCCCCATTAGCTAAAGTGGTGCTTCAGGTTAAGAACAGTTTCAGGTTAAGAACGGACCTCCGGAACGAATTAAGTACTTAACCTGAGGTACCACTGTATTGTGTGTGCCTCCCACTTTTAACCCAGAGGAAATCGTTCCCAAATGTCATTTGTTGATGATGAAATAGGAAGCTGCCTTATACTGATCCAGACAATTTGTCCATCTTGTTTGGTATTGTCTATGCTAGTAGGGATTTCAGACTGTGGACATTACTGACCCTACTTGGAAGTGAGCTTCTTGTCCATGATGAGTTCCAGCACCTATTTTTCTAGAAAAAATAGCACTGGTTTATATTACTATTATTATATTTAACTTTTATTTATACTTTTCAAATATATACATTTCACTGATTTGACATTCATTTTGACATTTTAAAGCTTGACTTCCTTCCCCCTCTTCCTGCGGTTCCTTAAATTTATTTTTACTATCTTCTGCATATCCAAATTAACTTAACTTGCTCATTTACTTCACACACACACACACACACACACACACACTTATATAGCTGCAGGTTATTACAATAATCCTGCCAGTGTTTTTATCTGTTTACAATTTATCTGTAAATATTTGATAAGCCATTTCCATTCTTTTATAAAAAGTTTGTTCTCTTGATTTCTTATTCTTCCGGTAATTTTCACCATTTCTGCGTATTCCGTAAGTTTTTTTTATCCACTCTTCCTTTACTGGGACTTCTTCTTCTTTCCATTTGGGGGCAAGTAACATTCTTGCCGCTGTAGTTGCGTACATAAATAAATTTATATACAACTTGGATAGCTCTATCCCTATAATTCCCTGTAATTCTGGGAATTACTGGTTTATGTTATTAGGTGATATCCAGTATTCACCATCCTCAGAGTAGACTTCCTGCAATCAGAGACAGTGGGTCCATTCTGTGGCTTATTTGGACATCCATTAATAATAATAATAATAATAATAATAATAATAATAATGTATTCTACCATATTGCTACTAATTTACCATAATGATCATAAATAACAACAACAATATCATCTAATAGAAAGATCTGTCCCTTTTTGTAAAAAATGAAATCATTCCTCAGCTATTTTAGACACACATTCTCGCTGGATGACCCTGTTCCTTAAAATTATACAAAAGCAATAAAAGGAAATGACATATATAGATAAAAAATGGGTAGGTCCATAACAGGAGCTTTCTTCACTTTGAATACACTATTCATTTCTACAAAAAGATCAGTGCTGGGGTGGTTTTTTTTTTAAAGGGAGTCTTCTAATTTAAGAGTCTATGGCCATATGTCACAATCTCTGTGGAAACAAAGATGGCCACTGTGATGAAATTGCACGAGCAACACACTCCTCTTTGTGGGGAAACATATGGTAGGTGCAGCTAATCCTAGCAGGCTGAGCTCTCTCCCACCCCTCATTCTTTTCATATTGGAAAAATATTTCTTTGCAACATGCATTTGCTTCTGAAGTGGAAAATTTGGAGCATGCTCTAAAAGGTTGGACTGCAGCTGATGGGCTGTGGGGTTGGCCGTAAAGATGATCAAACCTGTCAATTTCGGTTTCCCGCCGTTTCTCGTTTTTCCATTCTTAAATTCAGTTCTCCACATTTCTGCAGCCATCTGCAATTTGTTTTTGAAACAATGCTGAGGTGGATGGACCACATTTCTGGCAGCGTAAGGCAGCTTCCTATGTTCGGGTCCAGAATCTGAATCTTGAATTTGCAGTAAATCAGCAAGGATGGCTGAGTCCCAAGGGTTTCACAACAGCAGTCGTGAAAAGAATCCTCAACCTGTAAAAACTCAAATGTAGATTGGTATGTCCAAGTTATCCCACTGTACATGCATCAAAGGATGCAATACTTAATTGGTCCCACTTCCTGACCACTATTATGAACTTGGCTGGAGTTCATAGAATCACAGAACTATAGAGTTGGAAGGGACGCCACGCTTCATCTTGTCCAACTCCATGCAATGGAAGGAGACCTTGGGTTTTTAGTAGTGATGGTGGCGAATAAGCAGATCTCAGAAGAGCTCACAAGAGCTCTAACTCATATTTTAGAAGCATTGGGGGAAGTATTTGCCCTCTCTCTGAGTGTTTTTCTTTCCATTTAGATGTCTGCATAATATTCTACAGTGGTACAGCGGGTTACATACACTTCAGGTTACATACGCTTCAGGTTACAGACTCTGCTAACCCAGAAATAGTACCTCGGGTTAAGAACTTTGCTTCAGGATAAGAACAGAAATCGTGCTCCGGCAGCGCGGCAGCAGCAGGAGGCCCCCATTAGCTAAACTTTGCTTCAGGATGAGAACAGAAATTGTGCGGCAGCAGCAGGAGGCCCCATTAGCTAAAGTGGTGCTTCAGGTTAAGAACAGTTTCAGGTTAAGAACGGACCTCCGGAACGAATTAAGTACTTAACCTGAGGTACCACTGTACCTCATAAGGTTGAGTGTTGAGTTGAAAATATGCAGTCTTATCTTCCTCACATTCGCTCAGGGACTCACCACTGTTGTCTCACCACTGCCAGGGTTGGGCAGAGCCAGAATAAAAAATGAGCAGAGCATTGGAGGTCAGTTTTGCATAGTTGGTGACTTTCTTTCACACTCAGGAATCCCTCTTTCTTCTCCATCCAAGGCCAGCAAGAAGCAAAGGTGGATCTACTATGAAACTAATGAAGGTTTAGCTTCTGGTCCCCTGATCCAGATGGGGCTTCAGAAGCAACTTTAGACCACATTGCTTTGAAAAGTTGAATCTAGTAGACCAGGCACCCCAAGCTGGGCCCTCCAGATGTTTTGGGACTGCAACTCCCATGATCCTTAGCTAACAGGACAGGGATGATGGGAATTGTAGTCTCAAAACATCTGGAGGGCCGAGTTTGGGGGTGCCTGTAGTAGATCCAATTAAGTCTCATATTGATTAATTTCCCCCCCATATATTTCAACAAATTTGAGAGTCAGTAGCACAGACGTTGTAAAGGCTGTTGTAAACAACACTACTGAGGAAGATAACAATGGTTACCCAAACCTCATTGCTGGTTGTGAAGGGCCTCTTGTGGCAGTTCGAGCTTCATCAGAGCTTCAAAAATGTAGGTCCGCCACTGGCAAGAAGCGCTAACAGAGTTTGAGGACCAATTCCAGCCATGGAAAGCATTCAAGGTGGTCCAAAAGAAGGCTAATGAGTAGGGCTGCCATAACTCCTTGATTTTTTGGACATACCCACGATTTGTTCATTGGAAATAGTGCCCAGGTGGAATTTCCAAAAATGTCTGGGGAAACCCGGGCGAATGGCAAACCATTTCGGAACTGTTGATTTTTTTGTGTGAAGTTAGCTCAAAAACTTCATTTTTTGGAGATTTTGTGGCAACAACTTTTGTGTCCGGATTTTCACTTTTTGAAATACCGTATTTTTTGCTCTACAAGACTCACTTTCCCCCTCCTTTTTAAGTAAGGGGAAATGTGTGTGCGTCTTATGGAGCGAATGCAGGCTGCGCAGCTATCCCAGAAGCCAGAACAGCAAGAGAGATCGCTGCTTTCCCTGCGCAGTGATCCCTCTTGTTGTTCTGGCTTCTGAGATTCAGAATATATTTTTTCCTTGTTTTCCTCCTCCAATAACTAGGTGCGTCTTATGGTCTGGTGCGTCTTATAGAGTGAAAAATACGGTACTAATGAGGAGTGTGTAACGTGGGGAAAATTCCCATCTAGAGAGCTCTGGAGGGCTGGATTTGCTGTCTGGACCTAAGTTGCCCCACTCCGATACAGAAGTTGACTTTCACACCAAACCCAGCAAATGCCCCACAGTAACCATGCTGGTTCCTCGAGTCTGTTGCTCTTAGGAAGCTGTTTATTCCATGCTGACGTCTGCTCACCCTACGATGTCATCAAATTTCCTGTTTTTGAGGGGTCCTCCCCCACCTTCTGCTAGGGCAGTGTTTCAGGGAGCTGCGCTAAAAACAAGAGACATTCAGAAATTAGAACATGTGGTTAAATGCAGCGTAGCTAAGTAAATAAAGTAGGTGTTCAGCGGTGAACGGTTAGATCTTTGCTCACCATGGGAAAACTGACAGCTTTAAACGTTGAATGGAGTCATTTCTTTTTCTGTTAGGTTTTTCTTTTCTTTTTTAAAGAAAGATCCACACTTGTGTTGCTTTGTTTTTAAACACAAAATATTGTCACCTTTTTCTTCTGTTTCTCTTTCGTAGAAAAAAACAACAACAGGGCACTGAGATTTCCTTTTCCTCCTCCGATTTTGAACATGCGGAAAGTATTCTCAAAATAGTTCCTTTGCAATGATACTTTGCAATTTCTTTGCAATTATAGCTTTGCTATTTTATGTGCTCCATTAAAAAAAAAAAGATTTTTAAGAAAGAAAATGTCTTTAAAGTAACCTTGGGGTGTTATAAAGTAACCTTGGAGTGTTATCTAACACTTCATAGGTTGAGCAAAATTAACAGCCAAAATATGCATTTCTGGAGATGTAAAAAGCAGATTTTATGCATATATAATGGAACTGCATAAAAATAAATAAATAAAAATAAAATGTTTCTGGCCTGCAGTTTTGAATGAAATGCAGAAAATGACTGGTTGCACATTATCCAGAAACCCCAAAACAATTCTTCTCTGTGTGCTTCAATCCGAAGCTTAAAATGTTCAGTCTTCAAAGGTTAGCAACTCCTGACAACAGCAAAAGTTTGTATAGTTCAGCAATGGAAAAGTAAAGATCCCCCAACAATTACAGAATGGTTGAGGAAAACTTTAGGGAATGTTATGGTGGTAAAACATACATCTGTCACACCATTAAATATAACTAGCAAACCAACGTTAATGTGAAAGAGGAGCCTTTTTCGTTCAATTCAGCGTTACATAGATAAAATAGCTTATTAATTTGACACACTATCATTATGGAGAGTCCCAATTCTCAATTTTTCTCATTCTCCTTTTTCACTTTTTAGATTTTGTTTTATAGTCTATATTAGTAGATTGTAATATTTAAAATTTGAAAGTATAAATAAATTCAAATACAGCTGGAGGGTTACAGTTTCCGCAACTCTGCTATGCAACTTTTCTGCCTTATCCATGTACTATATCAATATTCAGATACATACATCATGTCATCCTGAACTCTTCCATAGCGGCCATGCTGATTTTGCCCATGTACATAGTCTTTTTGCATGTGCTGATGAAGAAACCAGGTAGCCTTCCATCAACTATAGCTTCCCATTTTGGCTGAATCAGGAAACTGTAGTTGCTTCAGAACATTCCAAGGCACGCAGGTGGTGCTGTGGGTTAAACCACAAAGCCTAGGACTTGCCGATCAGAAGGTCGAGGGTTCGAATCCCCGCGATGGAGTGAGCTCCTGTTGCTCAGTCCCTGCTCCTTCCCACCTAGCAGTTCGAAAGCAAGATGAATGTCGCAACCCCAGAGTCGGCCACGACTGGACCTAACGGTCAGGGGTCCCTTTACCTTTACCCTAAAAAATAAACAAAACTATTTTTACTGTACATTGCCCTGAGATGATTGTGGAGCAGAAGAAGACGAATTATTGGTAAGGCTGATAACATTATGCACTGTTTTCGGGGGAAATCACTTCGTAAAAATGTATAGAATAGGCAAAAACACATGCAAATGTGAATATCCAGAGAAACTCACTGAGGAATTTTCACAAGGATTTAAGAGAACCTGAGAGAAATAAAAATTGACATGTATGCCCGTCCCTGGAAAGCACTGCATAGGATGTTACCATAACTACCCCAGAATTCTGTTTTCTTTTTTTAATCAATCACCTGCGAAATATCTATTGTTCTGTTTCATTGGTCTGTACAACTTGCTCACCCAAGAGAAATGTTCTTCCCACATTCACAACGATGTGATTAGCTGTTCTCTGCTCATTCTGTCCTCTGTTTCGGAGACCAAACAAACAGTGGATCACTTGAGCACTTTCGTTTCTTTTCCCAGGCTTTCATTGCTACAACAACAATAATAATATATTTTGGCTAAGTATTCAAATCAGCCGCTTGTATGGTCTACATCTGTTCTGGAAGAGCAGATGTGTCCGGCGGGGATCAAAGGTTTGAGATTAAGCCATTCTCTGCACCAAACTTCCATGTATACTGCATCTCTCTCTCAGGATTTTACTTACGATCAAATCTTGGCTTAATAAGCCAAGACAGGAACAAGCCTTTTGCTCATACATGGACCCCAGTGTTTATTCCTTTTTTTTGGTGACCCAGCAAAGAATTCAGTTAAGTATTGATCAAACCAGGAAACCATGATTAGTAGCTTCAGAATAAGTCAGAATATTAAACCTTCAAGGCATGATTTGAGATGGTGGAATGTTCTGTAAAAGGTAAAGGTAAAGGGACCCCTGGCCATTAGGTCCAGTCGTGACCAACTCTGGGGTTGCGGCGCTCATCTCACTTTATTGGCCGAGGGAGCCTGCATACAGCTTCTGGGTCATGTGGCCAGCATGACTAAGCCACTTCTGGTGAACCAGAGCAGCGCACGGAAACGCTGTTTACCTTCCCGCCGGAGTGGTACCTATTTATCTACTTGCACTTTGACGTGCTTTCAAACTGCTAGGTTGGCAGGAGCAGGGACTGAGCAACAGGAGCTCACCCTGTCACGGGGATTTGAACCACCGACCTTCTGATTGGCAAGCCCTAGGCTCTGTGTTATTTCCACTATTATATGCATTTTAACTCATTTTTTTTTACCCTAGTACGTGTATTTTTGTACTTGGCTGGAGAACTGCACTGCAAAATTTGGAGAAGTGCACGTTTCAAAGGACAGCTTTTGTTTTGCATTTTGTTTTGGAAAGTTTAAATTAGGTACGTTTGCCTTTAAAAGGAAACTTATTCAATTCCCTCCCCCTCCCCTCGTGCCAAGTATCTCTTAATACTAAAAAGAGGTGTGTGATATCCCATCTGTCAAAGTGATAGGAGGACTGTGTTTGATCAGAAAGCATGCTGGAGAAAATAGGACTTCTTCCCTGGGTAGCAAGCCCGTTCACTTCTCGATAAAGTCCTATGGCTCTTCTATGGATGTCTGAATTGCTTCTCCATTGAAATAGCAGCTGAGTTAATTCTAGCATTTTTGTGAAGTTCGTAATAATACTGCCTTTGTGTAGGTAATAATCACAAGGCTGGGCTTGGCAGTTGTGGGGAGGCAATTAATTTTATCTCCGAAACATGTATGTACTGGGGAAGTCCCCGAGTATGTGAACATTATTTTTAATTTTGGGTGTTCCCATTTTCCTTCTGAACTGACTGGCCCTCAACCACCTGAATTTGCTATTTTTTGCTTAGCATTTACACCATGCTGCCCACGACCTGGTGCCTTGCAAATGCATTAAGAGCACAACTCCCATTGGTTAAGATTTAAACTTGCTTTGAAGTTCACCTACTTACAGTAGCTGTTACACTGCTGTTTGTGTAGGATGAAGGCTGTCAGTTTGGTAAGAAGGCCCTTAAAATCAACCTGATCCTTTATATCCCTGCCTAGTCACTGAAATACTGGAGAGAGTTGCTGTTAGTGGTTTCCCATGGCTCAGTGCGTGGCTGATATCCAACAGGAGCTGTGTGTTCAGTATTGTAGGCCCAATTTTGTGAAACTCCCTTCCAGTTGAGGTCACCTTAAGTGCTTACTGAAGAATTGCTTTATTCCAGCGGGCACTGTAGATGAATTCTGATTTTATAATTTTAACGGAGTTTTATTTGCGTTGTATTGAGCTTCTCCCACGCAACTTAGAGATGATTGCAATTCTGCAATATATGCGTTGTCGGAATGCACAAATAAATAAATAAAATCAGACTGTTGGGTTGTGCTTTAAGGTATTCTGGCAGTAGTATCTTTCTTTCTTTTTTTAAAAAAAGAGTGTGTTTGTGTTGACAGTATCAGGGAGATGGAACAACTCTCTTGTTTTCAGGCTTCTCTTCTTCCCTGAAGGGAGCTTCCTCAGAGATGAGCCAACTGCGCAGTGAGCCTCTGGGGCCCAGCTCCATCCCTCATCTTGCGATTTGGCTGTTCCCTGGATACAGACCAGAATGAGTTCCTACAAGGAAACGGTTCTTCTGCCATACTGATTATGCTCCGCGAGGATCAGATAGTAGTTTGAGGGAGGAAACAACCTCTTGTTTGGTTGGCGTACTGCGTTGAATGTGTCGGAAGCTTGTGGTTTTCCTCCTCAGATGCCTTGTAGAGAGGGGGAACCATCGCTCTGAAGCATAGGAAAAGCTTGCATGCATCAATCGCTAGCATCTCCAGTTAAAAAAATCTGGAGAAAAACCCTTCTCTGCTTGAGACACTGGGCAGCCACTTCCTGCCAGCTAGTGGAGGCTGGTCTATTCGAGCGGACAGAACTATGTCCCTCTGACTTCAGCCTGCCCTCAGCCAGCTACCACCTGTCTACGTTCTTTCTTGCATCATGTTCTGGGCTAGAACTGGCAGTCAGCTTTTGTCCTCCTTTGCTCCTTCTGCAACTCAGAAGGGAGGAGGATGTGAGAGGACGGAAGTTAGTTGGCTCCATCTTTCATTGGCTCTGACTGCCTATCAGTGGCTCTGGCTCTGCCTACTGTCGGTCTCCCTGCCATCTTCCATTTCCAATGGGCACCAGCCAGAGTAGACAAGACTGGGAGAGTATAACAGCAGCTGGACTCTAGCCACATTCAGACCATAAATTTAAAACACTATGGTACTGCTTTAAACAGGGACACGGGTGGCGCTGCGGGTTAAACCACAGAGCCTAGGACTTGCCAATCAGAAGGTAGGCGGTCCGAATCCCCGTGACTGGGTGAGCTCCCGTTGCTCAGTCCCTGCTTCTGCCAACCTAGCAGTTCGAAAGCATGTCAAAGTGCAAGTAGATAAATAGGTACCGCTCCGGCAGGAAGGTAAACGGCGTTTCCGTGTGCTGCTCTGGTTCGCCAGAAGTGGCTTAGTCATGCTGGCCACATGACCCGGAAGCTGTACGCCAGCTCCCTCGGCCAATAAAGCGAGTTGAGCGCCACAACCCCAGAGTCGGCCACAACTGGACCTAATGGTCAGGGGTCTCGTTATCTTTACCTTTACTACTTTAAACAGCCATGGCTTCCCCCAAAGGATTCAGGGAGCTATACTTTATTACAGGTCCTGAGAGTTGCTAGGAGACCACTGTTCCTTTCCCAGGGATGTGGGTGGTACTGTGGTCTAAACCACTGAGCCTCTTGGGCTTGCCGATCAGAATGTTGGTGGTTCGAATCTCCGCAATGGGGTGAGCTCCCATTGCTCTGTCCCATCTCCTGCCAACCTAGTAGTTTGAAAGCACACCAGTGCAAGTAGATAAATAGGTACCACTCCGGCGGAAAGGTAAATGGCATTTCCATGCTCTCTAGCTTCCATCACAGTGTTCTGTTGCACCACAAGCAGTTTAGTCAAGCTGTCTGTGGACAAACGCCGGCTCCCTTGTCTTGAAAGCGAGATGAGCAACCCCATAGTCGCCTTTGACTGGACTTAACCGTCCAGGGGTCTGTTACCTTTTACCTTTTTCTTCCCCTCCCAGAGTTACAATTTGCAGACATCCTTGTGAAAAGGGACTGGCTGTTCAACCACTCTGGGAACTGTAGTTCTGGGAGGGGAATGGGACCTCCTAGCAACTCTCAGCAACCCTTAACAAGCTGCAGTTCCCATAATAACCGTATTTTTTGCTCTATAAGACTCACTTTTTCCCTCCTAAAAAGTAAGGGGAAATGTGTGTGCGTCTTATGGAGCGAATGCAGGCTGCGCAGCTATCCCAGAAGCCAGAACAGAAGAGGGATTGCTGCTTTCACTGTGCAGCGATCCCTCTTGCTGTTCTGGCTTCTGAGATTCAGAATATATATATATATATTTGGTTTTTCTCCTCCAAAAACTAGGTGCGTCTTGTGGTCTGGTGCGTCTTATAGAGCGAAAAATACGGTATTTCTGGGAAGCCACAGCTCTTTAAAGTTGTGTAGTGTGAATGTGGCCTCTAGGTTTTTTTTAATTGTGCACCCTCAAATTTTAAAAATTGGGCCTTCGGTACCTGGTACCCAACTGGGTATTTTGGGGATCACAACCCCCATTATCTGTGACCCAACGAACGACCTTCTGGTTAGGACCGATTGGACTGGTAACATCTGGAAGTCACCAAGTGAGGAGAGACTGCTTTAAGTGCGCATGAAGTTTTAAATAGGAGTCTGACCTTTCTCATGCATTTTACTTGCGGTGTGGCCTTCATCTCACTAGCATGAGCACGTGGCGCTGGTAAACATATCCTCATGTATATATAGGGAAGTTTCCATTCCAGTGACCGGTGGGCCGGTGGGAACTGATGCTAAGAAGCAGCCATCCCCCCGGATGAGGACGGGGGACATATTCACTGACCCTGCAGAACGCACTGCTGAAGTGTGCTATCACATGGAAACATTTCCACATGATCTAAGTTTAAGACGTAGAGAAATGTGTGGCTCTCCAATGTTGCTGGAGACCATCAGCCCCAGCTAAGCATGGCTAGCGGTTAGGGATGATGGGCTGTGCAACCCCGCAACATCTTGGGAAGACCACAGGTTTCTCATCCCTGAAGGAAAAGGACCTTTAGCATGGAGTGGAGCGCATTAGAGGACTCTTGGTCTTTAGCGGAGTTTATTTATTAAGCACGATTGCTGCCAGCAGGGTTGTTGTATGACATGTTTTCCTTGCTCATGATTTGTTTACTCAAAACGAGAACTCCCAGGAGGAAACAGATCTTCCGAGAGCTCAGTTGCCATAGATGCTGCTTTTTCTGAGATGCAGCTTCTTCATAAGGATGACAGCGTATAGGCTATGGATATATTTCTGCTTATTTTGCTTTTAAAGAGACATTAGCTCTCTTCTTGAGATCATTTACAATTTAATCAACCAACCAACCTTGCCATTATTTGTTAAAATTGCGCCTTTAATCTTTTTGCCGTCCTTCCCTGAGATAATAAAGCACAAGAACCAAAAGAGGTTTTTACAACAACAACAACAAATTTATTAAATTTGTGAGGTCCATGCCTTTACACAAAATACCATAAAACATTATTAAAAGATAAACCAAAAAGATTATAAAAGTAAGCTAAAATTCATGCCATGTTGTCCCAGCAAGGAAACTACCCAAAAACCCCACCATTCAAGGAAGAAGGTTCAGCAACAGGTTAGGAGAGCAATGGGAGGGACCTCACCATTTCATCCAGGAACCATACCCTAGTTTTCATAGCCTTCACCACAAAGACCGCTACCACGTGAGAAATCCGTGGATCAGCGTCTACCAGTAAAAACTTTACTTGGTCCTCAGAGTTGACTATTGATTTAGGTATAGTTTGTAACATCGCATCCCTGAAGGCCGAATAGATGGGACAATACAACATGTAATGTATGAGATCCTCTTTGGTTCTCATATAACAAGGACATATCCGCTGCTCTACTGGGATTTTTGCATATCTGCCTGACAGATAGGCCGTAGGAATGGTTTGAAAACGGGCCATAGTAAAGGCTCTCCGAAGAGTGGGATTGGTGATATTCGCCAAGTAGTTGGCGCAGATTTTGACTGCTTTCAGTCGGGGAAGCCAGTGGGAGGACCCTGGGATCTGTATTTTTGTGGTATCTAACAGAGCGTCTCTCTCCAGGATCCATTTCCGGACTTTGTCCGGGCTCCACCGTTTGAGGATATTAAACTCCGGTAGGGTGTATCTAACCAGGATCTCAGATAAGTTTTGGCGCCAAGTGGTATTCTTTTGAAAAGATACGAAGGCTTGTTTGGCCAATAAGGTGTTTGAAGAGTTTGCAAGGTTGATGTAAAATCGTAGGAATCTTAAGTGGGCCCTGGCAGACACAGAGGGTAAACCAACCTCCACCCTCAAGAAGGCTGCTGGGGTTCCTTGAGGAAGGCCTAGAATCTTCTTGAGATAGTAGTTTTGCAAAATTTCAAGCCGTTCCAACAGCCTCTGGTTCCACCCCCAGAGTTCTATCCCATATAACATCTGGGGAATAGCTTTCCCAACGAAAGCTCTTAATGCCGGGATCACCAATTGTCCTCCCCTGGTATGGAAGAAACTAAGCAAAACACCAATTGTTCTTCGTGTTAGGATGGTTACAGCCTTAAAGTGGGCTAGCCAGCTAGATGTAGCCTGGAATGTAACACCCAGATATTTAAAAAAGGGCACTGTTCAATCACTTGTTCATCTAAAGACCATCTAAAGGTGTGGCGAGCTCTAGTAAACACCACAATTTTTGTTTTATCATGGTTTATCTTTAGTGAATTATGGGAACAGTAGGCTGCGATCCCCTCCAGCATGCTGCGTAAGCCTCTTCGGGTGAGTGCCATTAAAACCATGTCATCGGCATATAGCAAAATATTCAGGCGTTTACCTTCAAGGGCTGGAGCCGATGACTTGTACTTTGCCATGTACTGGACAATGTCGTTTATATAAAAGTTGAAAAGAAATGGGGCTAGCAGGCATCCCTGTTTGACCCCTTTCCCCAATGGCAGTGGGTCCGTAAGAGTTCCCGATGGCCCAGTTCTGATTTTGACTGTAATGTCTGTATGTAACTCTCTGAGAATTTTTAAAAGTCGTCTGTCAATGTCCGTTTCATATAATTTTTTCCATAGTCTATCTCTACAGATTGAGTCGAAGGCAGATGTCAAGTCTACGAAGGCCACAAAGAGTCTGCTAAAAGAGGTTTTTAAAAAATGAACCAATGTGCCCTTAACATTCGGATTAGCTGATTCAAATCTGGCCTCACTAACTGAAATGGACTCTGCCTATTTATTTATTCAATTTCTAAACCACACTTCATCATATATTATCCCAGAACAGTTTTACCCACAAAAGTATACACTTTAAAAATGATAACTTTTCTTAAAAACATTGTAAAACATTGTATAGTCGTACCTTGGATCCTGAACGCCCAAGAACTCAGACGTTTTGGCTCCCGAATGCTGCAAACCCAGAAGTGGTTGTTTTGGTTTGCGAACGTTCTTTTGGAACCCTAATGTCTGATGGGGGTTCTGCGGCTTCTGATTGGCTGCAGGAGTTTCCTTCAGCCAATCAGAAGCCGCAATTTGGTTTTCAAATGTTTTGGAAGTCGAACGGACTTCTGTAACGGATTCCGTTCGACTTCCAAGGTACGACTGTAGAGTACAGTACAGCAGGTAAACAATAACAGATTAGTCAATTACAGTGTTATTTAAGTAACTTGTCAAATGTAAATCAGTTAAAACCTGCAGCCCTGGTAAGTTGGTTTAAGATTATCAACTCTGCTCTACCGTAGCCTCAGGGTCAACCTGTCAAATAACAGGTGTGCGAGATAAATTGTTCCTTCAGCAATGAATTAAAATAATGCATAAATTGAATTTGAAAAAAGCAGGTTTCTGAGAACACAAAAAACAGTGTTTGTGGCTGTTTAAAATTCTATTATTCCAGATAATTTTTTTTGGCTTTCAGAAAGACCATATCGCTGTCAAAGGGGGAAGACTGATAGAATCACCTTCTTTATGTCTTTATAATCTAGAATCGTAGTTGTGCTGCATAGATACTATGCCTTTAAAGCACATTTGAAGCACATTTGAAGCACATTTGAAGCACATGGTTTTCCTCAAAGAATTCTGCGCTCTGTAGCTTGTTAAGGGCTGCTGGGAATTTGAACTCTCTGAGGGATAGACTACCACGCCCAGAATTCTTTGAGGGAAAGAATGTGCTTTGGATGTGCTTTAAAGTGTACACAACCTTGGTTTTAATAATCTGGAATCAATAGGCTTCAAAAATAACCTAGCCACCCCCTCCCCCAGCTGATGCAGAAAGCCCACTTTTACAACATCTCTGCTAGGTGGCCATTATGACTCTGCTTAGATACCTCTCTTGAAGGAGAGTTTGCCAGCTGCTTGGGATTGTAAACTAATTGGCCCTAAAACTGTTGGGTCTAAACCAGCGGTGGCCAAACTCAGCCCTCCATATGTTTTGGGACTACAATTCCTATCATCCCTGACCACTGGTCCTGTTAGCTAGGGATAATGGGAGTTGTAGTCTCAAAAACATCTGGAGGGCCGAGTTTGGCCACCACTGATCTAAACCAAAGGCAAGGCTTTTTCCCCCCCATTCAACCTTGCAGAGGTGGGGGAGATTCCAGATCTCCTGGAAGATTAAGGCCACATCCACACCAGATATTTAAATCACTTTGATACCACTTTAACCTTCCACCAAAGGATCTGGCTAGCTGTTAAGGGTGCTGAGGCTTGTTAGGAGATTCCTGTTCCCCGAGTTCCCAGGGAAGAGGGACTGACCGTTAAACCACTCGGGGAATTGTAACTCTGTAAGAGGGTGGCGCTGTGGTCTAAACGACAGAGCCTAGGGCTTGCTGATCAGAAGGTCGGCGGTTCGAATCCCCACGACGGGGTGAGCTCCCGTTGCTCGGTCCCAGCTCCTGCCCACCTAGCAGTTCGAAAGCACGTCAGAGTGCAAGTGGATAAATAGGTACCGCTCCGGCGGGAAGGTAAACGGCGTTTCCGTGCGCTGCTCTGGTTTGCCCGAAGTGGCTTAGTCATGCTGGCCACATGACCCGAAAGCTGTCTGCAGACAAACGGCGGCTCCCTCGGCCTATAGAGCGAGATGAGCGCACAACCCTAGAGTCGTCTGCAACTGGAGCTAATGGTCAGGGGTACCTTTACCTTTACTTTTAAGAGGAATAGGGGTCTCCTCGCAACTCTATGCCCTGTTAGCAAACTCCTGGGTTCTTTAGGGGGAAGCTGTGACTATTTAAAATGGTATCATAGTTCTTTCAATATTTATTGCGAAGGTGTGTATTGTGAAGGTGAGACCGCCCCAGCCAGATTGCTGTCTCCTTTTTGCTCTCACTTCACAACACAGGCAAGAATATTATAATCCAAATTCACCCTTCTACATGCTGCCTGGTGACTGTCACACATGATTATCTGCCTGCGTCACCACTGCTGACTTCTGAAAGTGTTGCAATGATGCAGCAGGCCTTGAAATCCTGGCCCTGTGTGTGTGTGTGTGCAGGCACATTTGGACATGAGAGTCGCCGCCTGCCTTCGAGACAAGGACAGCTTTCTAATATAGAACAAAGACTACACGTATTTGTCTGGCTCGCTGGCAACTCTTGGCCTGCTGCAGTGCGTCCGTTTGTGTGCCAGGTCTCCTGTTTTGCTCACTCTCTCCCACCCCACCCCTTTCTGCTTGTTGCAGAAATGGATTGGGTGATGCAAGAACCATTTGCATAACTACATTATAAAGGAATCGGTGGTGCTGGAAGTTTTCCTGAAAAGAGCTTAGTAGTCAGAAAGAACCTGTTGACGTAGTGGCAGGGCCGCATTGAAAGCGCTGTTCTTCAGCCATGGCTCCCCCCCCCCAAAGAACCCTGGGAAGTGTAGTTTAAGGGTGCTGAGCATTGCAGGTATTCCCTTTGCAGAGTTAACAATTTGCAAAGTTACGTAACCATCAGTCTTCTTCCCAGGGAACTCTGGGTATTGTACCTCTGTAGCGGGGGCAATGGGGATCTCCGAACAGCACCCATAACAAGCTACGGTTTGCCGATTATCTGGGGAAACCCATGACTGTTCAAGTGGTATAATATTGCTGTAAACGTATGGTGTGTATTTAGCATAAGAAAGCCTCGTTTTCACAGTACAGTGGTACCTCCGGTTGCGGACGGGATCCACTCCAGAGCTCTGGTCGGATCCTGAGGTTTCCACAACTGGAGGAACCATTTCTGCGCATGCGCATGTGGTAAAAACCCGGAAATATATCGGTACTTCCAGGTTTGCTGCTTATGTATCCCAAAGTTTATGTAACCAGAGGGATATGTAAGCAGAGGTATGACTGTGCAGTGGTACCTCGGAAGTCGAACAGAATCCATTCCGTAAGTCTGTTTGACTTCCAAAACGTTTGGAAACCAAGGTGCGGCTTCTGATTGGCTGCAGGCAGCTCCTGCAGCTAATCGGAAGTCGCAGAAGCCGTGTCGGATGTTCAGGTTCCAAAGAACATTCGCAAATGGGAACACTCACTTCCAGGTTTGCAGCGTTTGGGAGCCAAAACGTTTGACTCGCAAGGCGTTTGGCTTTCAAGGTATGACTGTACATTTAAAGTACTATGATACCACTTTAAACAGTCATGGCTTCCCCCAAACAGTCCTGGGAACTGGGGCAGCCTGTCTTGCTTCACTACCTGAGGTGAAACTGGAATGTGCTGCTGCCACCACCTCAAAAGAAGCTTTGCTTACCTTTGCAGCCGTGAGTTCCAGGTTCTGGGGAGATCTTATGGGGTGCAATCTTGCCACAGAGGATCTCACCAGAAGCCACCACTTCTCACTTCTCTGGTGGTGAGAGTGCCACCACTTGATATTTCACTGCCTGACGCGGCTGCCTTAGTCCGCCTCATGGGCAGGACAGTTCCCTGCTGGAAACTGTAGATTGTTAAGGGTGCGAGACTCTTAGCCACTTTGAGACTCCTTAAAGGGAGTGAAAGGCAAGATATCAAGTCCAAACTCCTCCTCCTCCTCCTCTTCTTCTTCTTCTTCTTCTTCTTCTTCTTCTTCTTCTCCTTCGGGTGCTATGAGACCCCAGTTCCTCTCATGGAGCTACAATTCTTGGAGCTTCTTGGGGAGAAGGATTGATTGTTAAAACTCTCTGAGAATTGTGGTTCTGTGAGGACCAGCACTCTGTTCCTGCACCCTGGCTCAGCTGGAACACTGCTGGTTTATTCTGGGCTCAGCCATCAGAATTTAAATTTGTGTAATTTAAGCTGGCATAAGTTACCAAAAAAGGTTGGGATGGGGCAAGGAGAGACACCTTTAACCAAACCATATTCATCTTGGGCAAGTAACCTTGGGCCCAATCCTTAAAGTGTGGGCCCACACTCACCTGCCACACGAGAAGAAGAAGAAGAAGAGTTTGGATTTGATATCCCTTTTTATCACTACCTGAAGGAGTCTCAAAGGGGCTAACATTCTCCTTTCCCTTCCTCCCCCACAACAAACACTCTGTGAGGTGAGTGGGGCTGAGAGACTTCAAAGAAGTGTGACTGGCCCAAGGTCACCCAGCAGCTGCATGTGGAGGAGTGGGGAAGCAAACCCGGTTCACCAGATTACGAGTTTACTGCTCTTAACCACTACACCACACTGGCTCCTAAATGGAGTTTGGGATAGGTGTAATTTCGATTGGCATGAATTATGCCAGCCTACATTGCATCAGCTTTCTATAGTTAGGATTGATCTGTTAATCTGAGCTGGATTTTCAAAGGCCTGTCTTTAACAAATAACTGACAGCATTCATTATGATTTATTTGAGAGCTCTTACCTTTGTCCCTTTTTAATCTGGAGAGTAAAAGTCAAAACATCTTAGGGACTCTTTGTTCCTTGGCTGTTCCAACTTCTGATTACCCTTGGCTCCAAATTGCCACAGGAGTATGAGCAAGGAGCTGGTTTGTACTCTTCTTTACACTACTCTATATCAACAGAAAGCTGTAAACCCATCAGTGTTAATTGCGCTGCTGTGGTTTACCCGCTGTTGTAAATGAGGTGAGAAGCCAGATCAGGAACTGTAAAGTGCTCAGTGTATAGCAGCAGTAGTATTTGAAAACAAGCCAGAAACAGTGTATTACTTTGACTGATGCTTTGTTTATGGCTATAAAAAAGCACACACAAACCCATAATGAAATAAGATACTCTCAAGGATTATCCTGTGAGCTTGGTGGTGGTTCCATTAAATGCTTGCGATGACAAAAATAACAACCCAGATTTCAGTATCTTTTAAGCATTCCATCGTGGTTCAGTGGTAGAGCAAATATATTGCAGGCAGGCAGAAGGTCCATGGCTTCTCCAGGTAGTATGGTCTCATATGTTCCTCTTAACAGAAGACAGTCCTCTGTCTCAGGGATGGAGAGCCTGATGTTGCCGAACTTCAACACCCATCATCTCTGACCGCTTGGCCATATTGGCTTGGGTGGCTGGGAGTGGGAGTCCAGCAACATCTTGAGGGACATTGATCCCCCATTCTTGCTATTCTTTGAAGGGCTCTAAGAGGACAGTTCTCTCTTTGAAAGGTTACCTGGCTTAAAGATGGTTTAAAGATAAAGAACCGTAAGAAAGGAGGAGAGCAGTGGCTGACTTTTTAATCTCCCGCAGTGTCTTGGAGCAACTCTGTCTTGGGGCATTATGGGAAATGTAAATGGTGGTGTCCCAACCCAGCAGCTTTGTTGTTACCCAGCACTGCCCCCTGGGGCACATGAATATACGTGGGGGTCCCATCAAAAGTCAACTTCTGTATCTTTTTCTCCCCCCCTGCTCCAAAAAAATCTAAACTTCCCCTCAGTCAAGATGGCAGACTGAATCATTCCAGAGTTTACTGACTGGGACACCTCAAAAGTTATTGTCACACCATTTGGTGTGATGGTTGCTGAACTGGAGGCGGTGGCTTTGGTCTATATTTGGATAACAGCGGACTCCACTAGGTATTCTCTGTAACGTATCCATGCTTATATATCACATTTGCAGAATTCCATATCCCCTCCAACAGTTTCAAATACCAGGAGATATGTTATTTGCTAAGTTTAAAAACACACACACATTGGAAAGAATCCTAAAATAGACAGGGCCAAAGGAGTGTGACTGATCGGAATCAAAGGGCAAACAAACTAGACACTGACCTGGCATAACCCACAAAAGCACTTCAGGTTTCTCCTCTGTGCCATGAGTCATTCCGTGTCACTCAGTCAGAGCGCAAGCTCCTGGAGGAGGAAAAATTCAGCTAATGGTTTCTCTTTCCACAGAATAAAAGCCTTCCACGAGCTTGCTCACAGGATCCTTAATAAGTATGGGGAGGGTGCATGAAGGATGGAAAAGTCAACGTTGTTGTGGGGAAAATACGTGACATGGTAAGGAAGTGGGAACAGACCAAAAGGGTTGATGTGCTAGCACTTCTGGAAAAGTCTCCTCCCAGACCAGAAATCCTTTAGGTGAAGATTCCAAGAATCAAACCTGGACCTTCAGACATAGAAGGTACTCCTCAGCTTAGGGCTGGCTAAAAGTTCCCCAAAGTAAGTTCCCTTTTAAAGTAAGGAGCAAAATAAACTCCACTCATTGCATGGGGCAAATTTTGAAAACTGGGGGCTGGGGAGATGGGAAAACGCTGACGACAGCTCACTGGCCTTTTCCCCAAACCAGTTTGCTGAGGCACCATTTTGAATTCCCTACAATGTGCCACGTAGGGTGATTCTGAGGATTTCAAAATGGCCACTGGCAACATGGACAAGTCGGAAGGTGCACTGTTGAGTTTTGGAAACACAAAGACACCTCTTCTCTAGGAACTAGAGCTGGCATGGGGCTGGGGATCCCTTCCATGGGCGGCAGAACTCTGTATCTTCTTGTGTTGCTCCTCTTGGGTGCATGAGCTGCCAAGGAGCGTCCTAGGGCTCCTCCAGATTTATTGACCATTCATCCTCTGCTTGCGCAAAGCTTATGCAGAAATTAGACCTTTGCATACACACCATACATTTAATGCACATAATGCCTAGGAACTGTATTTTGTTCAGGGTGCTTTAAATGTATGGTGCATGGGTAGGCAAACTAAGGCCAGTGGACCGGATCCGGCCCAATCGCCTTCTCAATCCGGCCTGCAGCCGGTCCGGGAATCAGCGTGTTTTTACATGAGTGGAATGTGTCCTTTTATTTAAAATGCATCTCTGGATTATTTGTGGGGCATAGGAATTCGTTCATTTTTTCCCTTCAAAATATAGTCCGGCCCCCCACAAGGTCTGAGAAACAGTGGACCGGCCCCCTGCTGGAAAAGTTTGCTGGCCCCTGGGGTGCATACACAGGCTTTATGGACCATTCATTCTGATCTGCCTGTGAGGAGGTTATATAACAATGAACATTCATCCTCATTTCATCTCATTTGTTTGTGTGGTGGACGATTACATGTATTGCCATGAGCCGTTTGTCCCACACTATTTAGTGTGTTTACACATCATTTTCCCTAACTTAAAAAAACCAAAAAACAAATAAACCATGTTTTTAAAAATAAAAATAAAAGTAGATTTGTTGCACCAGAATGCTTTAATCCGCTTTGATTGCACAAACCAAAATTTCCGGTATGCAATTGCAGCCCTACCACATAATACTGGCAGTCTGGAGATGACTCAAGACAACAGGCTAAGCGCACCCATTGACCAGGCCAGCTCAGCCTGGCAACTTAGAAAAGAATTAGCAACAAGGCAAAACCAGAGCAAGACTGCAAAACCAGTCACCGTTGAATTCAAATGTCAGACAGACCAAATACAGTGGTGCCCCGCAAGACGAATGCCTCGCAAGACGAAAAACTCGCTAGACGAAAGGGTTTTGCGTTTTTTGAGCTGCTTCGCAAGACGAATTTCCCTATGGGCTTGCTTCGCAAGACGAAAACGTCTTGCAAGTTTGTTTCCTTTTTCTTAAAACCGTTACAGTAATACAGGGTGCATTGCTTGAAGAGGTGCAGTTGCGACTTGACTTCGAGGAGCAACTCATAGCACGCGGTGTGGTAGCCTTTTTTGAGGTTTTTGAAGACTTTGGTGATTTTTGAAGCTTTTCCAAAACTTCTTTTGCAGCCATTTGGTAAGTTAAACTTTTAAAACTTTTTTGGGGGTTTTTGGATTTTGGGTTGGGGTGTTTGGAATTCAAGGACTTGGTGTTGGGGAGGGGTTTGCAAGAATCTGGAAGCTTGTGGTTTTTTTCCTGCATTTTTATGATTTTTTGTGACCATTGGGCCACTCTGCTGTTTTTTTAAAAAAAAATTCTGGGTTTGAATTTCTGTGTGGTGGGTGGCTGGGGGAACAGTTGAGGAGGGGTTTGCAAGAATCTGGAAGCTTGTGTGGTTTTTTTCTTAATTTTTATGATTTTCTGTGACCATTGGGCCACTCTGCTGTTTTTTTAAAAAAATTCTGGATTTGAATTTCTGTGTGGTGGGTGGCTGGGGGAACAGTTGAGGAGGGGTTTGCAAGAATCTGGAAGCTTGTGTGGTTTTTTTCTTAATTTTTATGATTTTCTGTGACCATTGGGCCACTCTGCTGTTTTTTTAAAAAATTTCTGGATTTGAATTTCTGTGTGGTGGGTGGCTGGGGGAACAGTTGAGGAGGGGGTTCTTCAGCAAGAAGCAAAGAGTGGAAGAGGAACCGTCTTCGAGTTGTCCCCCAGAGTCTTAGAAAATGTACTGTACACTTTGTTGATTTTTAAATGTTTTTCTGTCATGTTTAGAAACTTAATTCCTTCAATTTTTGAAATGCTCTTTACAGTATGTGTGACTTTAAAGAGCACTTAATAAACTCTTGTTGTACCAAATTTGGCTTTGTTTGGACTTTTTTTGACCATAGGAACGCATTAATTGAATTTCAATGCATTCCTATGGGATTTCGTGCTTCGCAAGACGAAAAATTCGCTAGACGAAAAAATCCGCGGAACGAATTAATTTCGTCTTGCGAGGCACCACTGTATAAACTCGGATACATAAGTATTTTGGGGAGGTTCTGCTGTAGATAGGGGACTGATATTATAGAGCAACAAAGATTTCAGAAAATTTCACTGGTCAGAAATGACATTGCATCAAAAGAGTACAGTATCCTTATGCCAAATTGGCTGACTTTGCCAATTTGGTAATGCAAGTTGTGCTGGTTTTTTTGTTTTTGTTTTAAAGCATCACATAGTTAACATCATTTAGGTCAAGTCGTGTCTCCTGTTTCCGGGTCTCTTTCACAGGAAGTGATTGGCTAACTCAGCCCCCCCTTTGTGTTAGGCAGGGGTAATAAAACATTTATTTCACAACCTTTAGATCAGCAGCAAACTCATCTTCCTGGAGGAATAAAAGAAATGGAGAGTTTTGTTGTCGTATGAACAAAAACTGCTTTGGGGATTGTTGTTGCACTGCAAAGCCTTGCTGTGAATTCAGCAATAGTTGTGTGAGTAGAGGAGCAAGGAATTTGGAAGCCAGCTTTTTAAGCATAACTTTTTGAGCATAACTGGTGACAATTGCTGCGATTTTAAAGGTAGCATCTAGAAAAGGTTTGTCAGAGTACTGAAAGGAAATTCCTTAAAGAGTTAATTTCAATCCAAATAACTTTATTGTGCTAGCCATTGGCCATGACAAATCTGAATAAAAAATAAATAGAAGCAAAAGGGATGCCGTGCCACAAATACAGTTGTACCTTGGATCTCAAACGCCCTAGCTACTGAACAAATCGACTGCCAAACGTTCGAAACCCGTGAGTGTTCTGGTTTTCAAACGTTCTTTTGGAACCCGAACATCCAATGGGGCCTCCACAGGAGGAGTTTCCTGCAGCCAATCGGAAGCCGTGCTTTGGTTTCTGAACGTTTTCGAAGTTGAACGGAGTTCCGGAACGGATTCCATTCGACTTCCAAGGTACGACTGTCATAGTCTCTCTTTAGATCTTTGTGTTTCTCTTATAGTTCACTGCTATATTGTCCAGTTGGCAACGTATCTGACGCCACATCTGTCAACCATGGCACTTAAGTAGGCTCTCATTGTACATACACCATACATTTAAATTACATTTAAAGCACATGGCTTCCCCCAAAGGATCTTGGGAACTATAGTTCACCCTCTCACAAATCTACATTTTCCAGCACCTTAAAAAAACAAGAACAACTATAGGCTGCAACATGCTGCAGGGTTGACCCTGACTAGGAATGAGTGAACGTGTCAGTATCGGTTTCACTAATTTTTCCACTCTTAAAGTCAATTCTCGACACTCCACATTTTTCATTGGGGGAAAAAACCCATGGAAATCCTGCATATGTATTCTCATAAACGTTCCTTGGCTAGAGAATCGCATTGTAAATGTGAAAGAAGTTCAAACCAATTTTTGGTTCTCATATTGTTTCGGAAATTGTGGATTTTCTTTCAGTGCTAATTGAATCTAATTTCTCCGCTGTCCTTAGCCCTGACCATCCTTCAAACCACTTTGTGCTTTACACATGAAAGAGAGTAAATTGCACCCAAACAGGAGAAATAGCTTAGTTTCCTTAATTTAGACAAGGAACAGAATCCATGCTTTTTTCTTTTGCCACAGAATTGAGGTCACCTTTGTGCAGATTTTTATTTTAAATACGAAGTACGCATAGCCCCGTGAATGCTTTTCTCCTTTTTCCTTCATCATGGCTTTTGCTGACTTCTCTACCCATCTCACCACTCCCCTTTCTCTTTTGGAGCTTTGGTTTAAATTTAAAATTAAATGGGTGATATCCAAAGTAATAAATTAAAGGGCATCTGAGGAGTCTTAAGGACTGAGCTTCGAAGCAATAGAGCCATGGAGAAACCATGTAATTTTCAAAGGCCTTTATGTGGCGTGTGGGGTAGGCTGTTGGCTCTTTAAAATTATTCACTGGAAGAAATTCTGGATGGCTGAGGATTAAATCTGATCATAAAGTGTGGTTTTACTGTGAAGAATAACATTGTAAAAATGCCACTTTCATAGTCATCAGAATCTGTTCATTGTGTGTGTGTGTGTGTGTGTGTGTGTGTGCGTAAAGACATCTGTTAACAGCCAGGCCAAACTACTTTTCTACAGTTTCGTTTTCAAACAGAGCTAAAAGGCAAATATTCCTAGCCTAGGCCAGTTTGCTGCCTGAGGTAGATTGTGCTCCCTCAGGGTGACCATAGACTCAGCTACCTTAGTCAAAAAGCAACATTTTGAATGTGTTATAAACATGCAACACCAGATGGCGCTGGAGAGTAAAAGAAAATTCAGTGCGATTTTCCATAGCGGGTCCCCCCCCCCTTTCGTTATAAGAATTTAATGTTTGACTTATTTATAGGGTCGTTTCCCACCCCCACCCCCCATGATGGGCAGATCCACCCCATGTTGCCTTTCTTACACAGAAAAGTCCTCTGGTTGCAATGGTTGTGACTTTTTAGTTTAGAGAAAAGGCAAGAATTGACATGATACGAAAGAAATTTATAAAATCGTGCGTGAAAGTAAAACAAAATTATGCGTGGCGTGGATCGGAAAAATGGTGGGGTTTTTTCTCCCTCTCTTATAAAGCTAGGACTCCCTGTTCAGGGAAGTTTTTAATATGTAATGCTGTACTGTTTTTAACACTTGATTGGGAGCCGCCCAGAGTGGCTGGGGAAACTCAGCCAGATGGGCGGGGTATAAATAATAAATTATTATTATTATTATTATTATTATTATTATTATGGACACCCAACAAAGTTGAAACACTGGAAGATTCAGGGCAGATAAAAGAAAGGGCAGTTAAACTATGAAACTCCCGCAGGAGGCAGCTATAGTCACCAACTTGGCTGACTTTAAAAAGAGAATTTGACAGATTCATGGATGATCAAGGGCCGCTAACCCTCATAGCTATGTTCTGCCTCTATGGTCAGAGGCAGTAATGTTCCTGAATACCAGTTGCTAGAAACCACAGGAGAGCAAAATGCTCTTGTGCTCAAGTCCGGCTTGCAGGTTTCCTCGGTCATCTGGTAAGCCACTGTGAGAACAGGATAATGGACTAGATGGGCCACTGGCCTGATCCAGCAGGCTCTTTAAAAAAAAAACAAAAAAAACAGAATGGAACGATTTATTAGAATCCTTTTAGCAGGAAAAAAAAATCACACACTGCTATTTCTTCGAACCCCATCATGCGATAAGCCACCAAAGGTTCTCATTACCTGATAAAACCATTTTGCATATATTCTGTCAGCCCTTCCTTCCCCACAAATCCATTTATAGCCGTGATTTTATTAGCAGCAAAATTTTCTTACCATGAATCCCATCTTGGTGCAAAATGTTTACCAAGGGCCAAGACTTTAATGGAGCTCTTGCAAATAGTTTTTCTTTTTTCTTTTGAACTACAGTGGTACCTCTGGATGAGAACGGGATCCGTTCCGGAGCCCCGTTCACATCCTGAAGCGAACGCAACCAGAGTCTGCTTGTGAGCGGGTTGTGATTCGCCACTTCTGTGCATGTGTGTGACGTCATTTTGAGCGTCTGCGCATGCGCAAGCGGGGCGAAACCCGGAAGTAACATGTTCCATTACTTCCGGGTTGCCGCGGAGTGTAACCTGAAAACGCTCAACCCAAAGCTACTTCAACCCGAGGTATGACTGTACAGTGGTACCTCAGGTTACATACGTTTCTGGTTACATACGCTTCAGGTTACAGACTCTGCTAACCCAGAAATAGTACCTCGAGTTAAGAACTTTGCTTCACGATGAGAACAGAAATCGTGCTCTGGCGGCGCGGCGGCAGCGGGAGGCCCCATTAGCTAAAGTGGTGCTTCAGGTTAAGAACAGTTTCAGGTTAAGAACGGACCTCCAGAACGAATTAAGTACTTAACCCGAGGTACCACTGTATTATTGTTTTGAGTCGGAAGAAAATAAAGGGGAATAGGAAGGACTGGGCATTCTCTCTTTACAATGGTGAGAATACCTAGCTCTTTCTTTACCAGCAGGCTCTTCTTGAAAGACTGTCAGAAGCACAGGAGTAACCTTTCTGCAGGGCCGGCCCACCTGCGAGGCAAGCTGAAGCAGCTGCCTTGGGCAGTGGAATTCTGTGGGTTGGCACTCCACTTGCACCTTCGGCCACTACTGGGGCCGTGTGGTGGCTTTTTCATCCGGCGAGATCTTGCAGAACTCTTGTGAGATCTCATGGAGCTCCATAATGTCTCACCAGAAGAAGCCGTGATCACTGCCGCCACATGACCCTGATAGGCAAGGCAGTGGGGGAATGGCACCTGCCCGTTTTCCCTCAGGCGGCGAAATGGGATGGGGCCCTGGTTTAAAGGGAAAGAAGGGAGAGTGGGGAGAGCAGTGGCTTGAAGTTGTCCACAGTTGGCCATTGTGGTACCCTTCAGAGCAGTGCTCTTTTTCTAGAAAAAGAGGTGCCGCAACTCACCTCCCTCTTGCATGGCAAGGTCCTGACCCCCGCCACGAGGTTGAATAAGACACTTGACGCTTTGAATAAACACTCACAAACTTTTTATTGATAATAACCAGTTAGACAAATTAAGGATTTATACAATTTTGTAACATGCAGAGAATAGCATTTATAGTGAAACAAGAGATTGGAACTGAGGGAAGTCGGGGTGGTGGTGAGGAGGGGGGGTTGTTTTATGGGAGGGGAATGGGGGGGGGAATTAAGGATGATGTGGTTTAAGATAATATGCTCTGTCTAAATTCCTAATTAAAAAATTATTTAAAAAAGAATAAGACACTTGACAACAGTATTTTAGGTCAATGGGCTAAAAAAGGCCACAACTTTATTGGTTACAGATTGTGAGCAGTATTGGCTTAGGCATTGGACCTAACCGACTATATCTGACTCCTGCCCGTCTGTGCAGAGTCCAGGAAGGGTTAACCACCAGTAAGGGGAGTCCTGCTGATGCACATCAACTAGGAGCTCCCCCCGGGCCACCGATAGGGGTCGTGCCTTAGGCCCTAGCCTCCCCAGGCTTCGGACAGGGCCACCCCCCCCCCGGAATCCTTTAACGCAGTGGTTCTCAACCTGTGGGTCCCCAGATGTTGTTGGACTACAACTCCCATCATCCCTGAGCTCTGGCCTTGCTAGCTAGGGGTGATGGGAGTTGTAGTTCAACAACATCTGGGGACCTACAGGTTGAGAAAGGCTGCTTTAATGGAATACCCTTCAATGTGCAGGGGAGGTGATGGTGCTACCTCCCCTCCTCTCTTCTCTTCTTCCAATGCCTAACCGCCCAGCTGGAAGAGCGAAAAGGGGTGAGGCTCCCCTTAAATCAAGCAGGCCACACCCCCAGAGCTTGGTTGCCTGGGCAGTGACGCAGCTGGGAATCCCTCCCCCCAATCGCGCAGGGCTGACCACACCCCTGTGCATGTGAAGGGGTTGTGAGTGCCCGCAGCTCCACCTCCTCCTAAGGCGGAAGTGGCTTTCTCCTAGAACAGCGATGGCACCCACCTGAGAGGTGCCTGAATTGAGTTCCAGCGTGTTCCCTCCTGGAAAAATGCCCTGCTCCAGAGCATCAAAGAGCAAATCCAAATTGTAAATCAAACCCTTTGTTTACTCTGTTTGGAAGTGGTTGTGTATCCTTTACTTTAAAAACAAAAAACAAAAAGTCACTACAGTAGTACCTCAGGTTACAGACGCTTCAGGTTACAGACGCTTCGGGTTACAGACTCTGCTAACCCAGAAATAGTATCTCGGGTTAAGAACTTTGCTTCAGGATGAGAACAGATATCGCGTGGTGGCGGCACGGAGACAGCAGGAGGTCCCATTAGCTAAAGTGGTGCTTCAGGTTAAGAACAGTTTCAGGTTAAGAACGGACCTCCGGAACGAATTAAGTTCTTAACCCAGGGTACCACTGTATTCAGAAAGCTCTCATCCAAACAGTGGAGTGCTGTTGCTGAGAGAGAGTTTGCATGAGCTTTCCGCAAGAAATGGCAAATAAAAATGCCTTGGAGATCCATCAGTTCATTTGTCACTTTGTCATTTCTACGCTGGTGGTGAATTCCCATATGTAGTCTGACATATAATGCCTACACTGTTTCTCTGAAATGGGGGGCGTTCCCCCCCCCTTTTCCTGCCAGGAAAATATGGAAATTTTTCTTCTCTGCCCACATGCAGTATAGAATTGTTAAAAATGCCCATCTTCTTGTTTCTAGGCAGTGGGAACAGATGTGCAGTTTGGGCCTATGAGACTCCACCAAGATCAACTTCAGGTAAGACGTGCCAACCAAAAATCTTGTTTATTTCCCACATATATAAACTGCAAATGCTGCCCAAGGCTGCTCATAGCAGGGCACAATGACAACAAACAGACCAAGGCCAAATAGCAATGCATGGAACAGTAAAAATGAAAACTATCCTAACGTTGAACTATTATGGCCAGGTGGTCAGTGCAGCTAGTGGTTAGATCACCAGACTAAAACTGAGGAGACCTTGGTTCCAATTTCCCACACACTACCCTTCACCACTGCAACCCGATTGCTTGCTTGCGTCTTGCTCAAAAATTTAGCAGATATACTTCAATACAATTCAAATTTGTATTTTCTCAATTTCCTGCCCCATTTTCACGGTATTTTAATTTCTCCCCCTCTGCTACACATGGCATTCTGTTTCTTATACCAACACATCAATACTGCATTCTCTAATTCCTTCTGTTGCTTATAATTAAAATCCTCCTTGCTATATAATATTTCTATTATAATATTTCCTTAAATAGTTGGGAAAGGGCTTCCATTCTTCCACAAAACAGTCCTTGTTAGATTCTCTTATTCTGACTGTTAACTTTGCCAATTCTCCATAATCCATCACCTTATCCATTCTTCTTTGGTGTGAACTTCTTCTTCCTTCCGTTTTTGTGTGTGGGGAATCCTAGCTGCTGATGTTACACAAACAACAACAAAATGTTCTGAATTGTTTCTGGTGAGTGCCGGTCATGGGCCCCTGTCATATTTCAACAGGGATACTTTTTTTGCAAAACAGGGGCAGCCATAGCAAAGCCGCTGCTCCGAGTTACTGCAGAGTGAGCTTCTGAGATCTTTGAAACTTTTAGGAGACGCTCTCTCAAAGAAAAGGGATAAGGCAGTCTCTCAAGTTACTTGCTCTTGAGCTGTGTATGTTCATTCAGAAACTTTGCCAAAAGTCTGCTGCAGAGCTCCCCAGGCTTCCATGTTTCTGCTTGGTGGGAGGGATTTGGTTGGGTACCAAAATGCTCTTCCTTCATCCGATTTGTCCTCAATTTGCTTCACTAAATATAGCTTAAAGTGCAGCATGATTTTGGGTGGGGGTTTCTTTCAACAAAGAGTCCCCCCCCCATTGCCCTCGGAAGCTATAAATGGAAGCCGGGCTTTAAATAAATTCGAAGTCCCTCTCTCTTTCTCTTATAAAATTATGCATTAAATACAAACAGGGAGATTTCGTGAAAGGCATTCCGCTGAACCTAATCAAAGGGTAAGCGCCATTGGAATGCCTGGAATTGCTCAGAAGGGTAAACCGAAGTGTTACAAGGGACCGTATTTAATTACAATTGCTAGATGTCGAAGGTTTATAAGGGGGAAAATGGAGAGCAGCCATAGGCGCAGGAGAAAGTCGGCTCAGTTAACATTTAAAGGTGAACCTTCCCCATCTGCACTTTCAGAAAAAGCCCACAAACCAAAACACTGCCATCCTTCGGAATTTGCATTTCTCTGAATTTTGCAGCTTCTCTGTAGTGGCTCCCTGTTTGTAGAATGCTCTCTCCAGGGAGGTTCGCCAAGCGCCTTCATTATATATTTTTAAGTACCAGGCGAAAACCAGGTCTATGGCTGATTAATATTCTACAGCCTTTGCAATGTGTCTGTGGGGAGGGTGTGTGTGTGTTAGTGTTTTGCAGTTTTGTTTTTAATTATTTACTTGTTTTTATCCTGAATTTTATTCTGTGAACTGCCCTGAGATCTTACGATGAAGGGTGATATATAAAACGAAGCAAAATGAACAAAATAAAAGGAAAGACAAGGAAAAACTAAGACCCAGAAGGCCAGGGTTCAAATCCCCACAGAGCCACGAAGCCTTGGCCAGTCACTGTCTTTTAAGCCCAACCTCCCTCACAGGGTTGTTGTGAAGATAAAATGGGGAGGAGAACTATGTCTGCCACCTTGAGCTCCTTGGAGGAAAGATGGGAAAGAAATGTAGCTCACTTTACAATGAAATGCCGGAGCTGTGAATGAGTCAGTTAAGCTTGTGCATCTTTTTTCCTCCAGTTGCTTACATTCTCTTTTTCTTCTCTCTCTCTCTTTCTTTTTCTTTCTTTCTTTCTTTCTTTCTTTCTTTCTTTCTTTCTGTTATGTACTGAAGTTCTCACCCTGGACCAGCAGGGGGATACTGTAGATAGTTATGCAAATAAGGGATCGAAAGTGACGTTCAGTGATTGGATGGTTTTAGAAAGTTGTTACAGTTGCGTTGTACTGGAGCTCTATATAAGCAGGCTGACTGAACCCTTCAATTCAGATCTGTTCTGGCCTGTGAATAAACAAGAGCTGTTTGAAGAATCGCTGTGTCGTCTGATATGTTCACCCACAACTTAACACTTTCTTTCTCTCTCTCTCTCTCTCTGTGATGTGATATACAGTCGTACCTTGAGAGTCAAACAGCTTAGTTCTCGAACATTGCAAACACGGAAGTGACTGTTCCAGACTGCAAACTATTTTTGTTTTTTTGCTTTTTAAATGATATTTATTACTTTTTCAAAATTTCCAACACAACACTACAAACAAAAAGAAAAAGAAAAAAACAAAAAAACAATATGAATACAATACAAAAACGCTACATGGGCTAACAAATCAAGCAAAAACAAACAAAAACAATTTAAAAACATCTCAAACATTTTCAATATCTTATATTTCATTCACTTATTTCCAGCGACTTCCTCACACCTCCCTTTTTGTATTCCACTTCTATTATTTGTTTCAGCAATTCCTTTCCATCTTACTCTGTTTTCTGTTCTATAATTATCTTAACACATTCTTGCCATACTTTTCCTTTAATTTTCTATTAATCTATTTATACTTAATTCCTTATGACATTTCTACTAACGCCATGTAATTTCATTCCAACATTTTTCTAACCTTCCTTAATTTTACAATATTTCTATAAATAGTCTTTAAACTTTTTCCAATCTTCTTCCACCAACTCTTCACCCTGGTCTCGGATCTTGCCAGTCATTTCCGCCAATTCCCTATAGTCCATCAACTTCGTCTGCCATTGTCCAACACTTCAGTGTTTTCAAGAAGCAACCATTCTCTCAACCAGCAAAAGGCAGATGGTTCACAACGAAGTTTAAAGGTCTGGCAGGGCAGGTCCACCTCCTTCTTTAGCATCCATCAATATCTTAAGCTTAACTCGAGGCTTCCTGCCCTGCCAAACAACTCTAGGAGCATCCCTCTGCCACCTCCTGAGACCCTCCATCCCATCCAGAGCTTGCAATGTTTGAAACAAAAGCAACATCCCCAGCAACACAGCAGCCCTCATCCCCACCACAATAACTCGACCCAACAACTTCTGATTTGTCCATATTTCCAAATCCCCCTTCTCTTCAATCCAACATCCTTCACAGTTGTCCTTAAGCAGATTCACATTTTTGGCGGTCATACTAACCATACTAACCCCCAAATACCTCTCTTTCTCAATCAATGTTAGTCCTGTCGCCTCCTGAAACTCTGTCAGGCTTTCCTTTTCCAATTCAGATAGGGCTCTGGTCCTCAAATTCATCCATTCTTCTTTAAGTTCAATCATAACGAATGTCAGCTTATGTTCATCAAGTTGTCTTTGTATGGATGGGACTCTCCTCTCCAGTTGTATTACTTTAGATTCAGCAGCAAGGGTTTTTTCCCTGACTTCATCTGCAGTTTGCCGTATCAAAGTAGATTCCTGTATCAGTTTCTGGGTGGTTTCTGAATTGGTGTTCACCTTTTGTCCCAAATTATTTAAACTTTCTACAATTAAATCAGTTTCAATATTTGCAACATCCAATTTCACATTTATCGCATCTGTTTTCTTATGGAGTTAGAATCATAGAATCATAGAGTTGGAAGAGACCACAAGGGCCATCGAGTCCAACCCCCTGCCAAGTAGGAAACACCATCAGAGCACTCCTGACATATGGTTGTCAAGCCTCTGCTTAAAGACCTCCAAAGAAGGAGACTCCACCACACTCCTTGGCAGCAAATTCCACTGTCGAACAGCTCTTACTGTCAGGAAGTTCTTCCTAATGTTTAGGTGGAATCTTCTTTCTTGTAGTTTGGATCCATTGCTCCGTGTCCGCTTCTCTGGAGCAGCAGAAAACAACCTTTCTCCCTCCTCTATGTGACATCCTTTTATATATTTGAACATGGCTATCATATCACCCCTTAACCTCCTCTTCTCCAGGCTAAACATGCCCAGCTCCCGTAGCCGTTCCTCATAAGGCATCGTTTCCAGGCCTTTGACCATTTTGGTTGCCCTCCTCTGGACACGTTCCAGTTTGTCAGTGTCCTTCTTGAACTGTGGTGCCCAGAACTGGACACAGTACTCCAGGTGAGGTCTGACCAGAGCAGAATACAGTGGCACTATTACTTCCCTTGATCTAGATGCTATACTCCTATTGATGCAACCCAGAATTGCATTGGCTTTTTAGCTGCCGCGTCACACTGTTGGCTCATGTCAAGTTTGTGGTCAACCAAGACTCCTAGATCCTTTTCACGTGTACTGCTCTCAAGCCAGGTGTCACCCATCTTGTATTTGTGCCTCTCATTTTTTTGCCCAAGTGCAATACTTTACATTTCTCCCTGTTAAAATTCATCTTGTTTGTTTTGGCCCAGTTCTCTAATCTGTCAAGGTCGTTTTGAAGTGTGATCCTGTCCTCTGGGGTGTTAGCCACTCCTCCCAGTTTGGTGTCATCTGCAAATTTGATTAGGATGCCCTTGAGTCCATCATCCAAGTCATTGATAAAGATGTTGAATAAGACCGGGCCCAAGACAGAACCCTGTGGCACCCCACTAGTCACTCTTCTCCAGGATGAAGAGGAACCATTGATGAGCACCCTTTGGGTTCAGTCAGTCAGCCAGTTACAAATCCACTGAGTGGTAGCATGTTCAAGACCGCATTTTACCAGCTTCTTTACAAGAATATCATGGGGCACCTTGTCAAATGCCTTGCTGAAATCAAGGTAGGCTACATCCACTGCATTCCCTTCATCTACCAGGCTTGTAATTCTGTCAAAAAACGAGATCAGGTTAGTCTGACACGACTTATTTTTCAGAAATCCATGCTGACTATTAGTGATCACAGCATTCCTTTCTAGGTGCTCACAGACTGTTTGTTTAATGATCTGCTCCAGAATCTTCCCTGGTATTGATGTCAGACTGACTGGGCGGTAATTATTTGGGTCCTCTCTTTTCCCCTTTTTGAAAATAAGGACAACATTTGCCCTCCTCCAGTCTGCCGGGACTTCGCCTGTTCTCCAGGAATTCTCAAAGATGACTGCCAGTGGTTCTGAGATCACATCTGCCAGTTCTTTTAATACTCTTGGATGCAGTTCATCTGGCCCTGGAGACTTGAATACATCTAGACTAGCCAAGTATTCTTGTACTATCTCCTTAGTTATTCTGGGCTGTGTTTCCTTTGCTGAATCATTTGCTCCAAATTCTTCAGGTCGGGCATTGTTTTCTTTATCGGAGAAGACTGAGGCAAAGAAGGCATTGAGTTGTTCCAGCGAATCGTTTATTTTCAATAATTCAGCCACTAAGGCCTCCTCTGTCGACATCCCGTCTGTTTTTTCCTTTCCGTTTGCCATAACACTTAAGAGATTCAAGGTCAATTCCAAAGTCTCACACTTTTCGTATCTTGCAGCTGAAAATTCCCCTAGCCCAGCTCCTATAAAGTAACCAATTTCAAAAGCTTCCACTAGGGGAAAACAGGTTGTATTTGTATCGGTCAATATGTCCTCTTTTAAACACAGTTTCAATAATCCGAAGTTAGTTTCAATTTTCAGTTACTTTCCTCCTTTTTTAAAAACAACCAGAAACAGTAGAAACAACGTATTTCTCTTATTTAGCTAGCTGTCAATGAACGTTCTAAGCGCTGTCAATGAACATTCCAAAAATAACCCCAAAAAAACCCATCAGTCTTACTAGCAGCCCGTTTCCAGGGTCAGAGCGGTGGTGTTTTAAGCCTCTTCGCTCTCTCCCACAGGCATACTCAATCCGCAACTTCCCCCTCTCTTCTCCTGCCTCCAAGAGGGGGTTTAATGTTCTTTACCGTTGGAAATTTGATCTTTTACAAAAGACCTTCCAGGACTCCAGCTTGCAACTTCGTTGCCTCAGTCTATTTACAAAAAGGGAAGGCGGACTTCCTGTTTTGAACCTCCCGTTACGATACCAAATTAAACTTTTAGAGATCCAATTCTTCCGTTTCAGCTCTACTCACGGGTAATTACTTTAAAGTCAAATTGTCCACAGGAAAAGGTCAGCGCTCTCCGGCAACAGCTATGCGGCTTCGCTCCGTGGAAGAAGCAGACGATTCGATGCACCGCGCCGCTCACCCCACGTCGCTCCGGAGCCCCAAAACCGGGGTTCCCCACGAGTGGGGAGGCGCAAAGGTGCCCGCCGAATCCCACGTTCACAGGCTTCTCCCGCCTGTGATTTTAACGGGTCTCCGCCTTCGCCGTGGCGGCCAGACCCAGATTTCCACGAAGCAGATTCCTCCCGGTCAGAGGAATTCTGCCATTGCTGGAGCAGACTGCAAACTATTTTTGAAAGCCGAACATCCAACGGGGCTTCCACAGCTTCCGATTGGTTATGGGAACTTCCTGCAGCCAATCAGAAGCTGCGCTTTGGTTTTCAAACGTTTTGGACTCACCTCCATTCCTTTCCATTCCATTTGACTTCCAAGGTATGACTGTATATATGTGTTTGTGTGTGTGAAATGAAAAATGCTCACTCCCCTTCTCTTTTCCTTGAGCCTAGGTACTTCTAGTGTTTGCCAAAGAAGACAACCAGAGTAATGGATTCTGCTGGGCATGTGAGAAAGCTGGATTTCGCTGTAACATTGCCAGGACACCGGAATCTGCCCTCGAGTGCTTTCTGGAGAAACACCACGAAATCATCATTATTGATCATAGGCATTCAAGATACTTTGATGCAGAAGCTCTATGCAGGTGAGTGCTCTGCCGTAGGCGCTTGGTGTGTGTGTGGGAATATTTTGATACATTTCAGCTCCAAGTTTAATAACCTTCAAGACTGGACTACTGCAGTGCACTCTATGTGGGGCTTCCCTTGGGCTTGATCCAGAAGCTGCAACATGATTCCTGACAGGACTGAGACCTTGTCAGCATACAGTAACTCCTCTCAGAGATCTGCAATGGCTACCAATTTGCTACTGGTCTAAGTTCGAGGTGTTACTACTAGTATAGTATAGTATAGTATAGGGGACACGGGTGGCGCTGTGGTCTAAACCACTGAGCCTCTTGAGCTTGCCGATCAGAAGGTCAGCAGTTTGAATCCTGGCGACAGGGTGAGCTTCCGTTGCTCTGTCCCAGCTCCTGCCAACCTAGCAGTTTGAAAGCACGCCAGTGCAAGTAGATAAATAGGTACTGCTGCTGCGGGAAGGTAAACGGCATTTCCGTGCACTCTGGTTTCCGTCATGGTGCTTTGTTACGCCAGAAGCTGTTTAGTCATGCTAGCCACATGAGCTGGAAAGCTGTCTGTGGACAAACGCCAGCTTCCTCGGCCTGAAAGTGAGATGAGCACCGCAACCCCATAGTCGCCTTTGACTGGACTTAACTGTCCAGGGGTCCTTTACCTTTACCTTAGTATAATGTATTATTATATTATGATTTTTTTCCATGCTTGTGCTGTTTGGGTATATTAATGTTAAACAGTCTAAAACTGTTGTTGAAATAAATTTAAATTAGCAATCTTCATTTTCAAATATGTGATTATGTTTTGATGATATTTGATCTTTTTATTATGAATTAGTGGCTTTTATGACAGCTGTGCTAATTGGGGCTAATTGGAATTGCTTTCCAAGTTATCTGGAGGATACCAAGTTGAGGAAAGCTTTTCCAATCAATAGTTAAGATTCAGTTTGGGGGGCTTTTTTATTTAAACATCTGTTAATGGAAACAAAATAAACACTGTCATGCTTTCTTCAAGATGTATTGTGGAATTTATTGTTCTGATTTCCCCCCTTGTTTTTAAAGGTCCATTAGAACAAGAAAGCCGTCCGAAAACACTGTTATCATTGGTGTAGTGAGGAGGTAAATGAGAATTCCCATTATGTTTTTTATGTTCACATGTAAAATAATCTGTGAATGCAAAGTTTGTGGTTGTAAGCCGATAGTTCTGAAAACCAGCGTGGCCGACAACCCCAATCACACTTACTGTTTGTAGCATGTGTTTTTTTTACAGCTATGGTTGTAATAATGTTCTTTCAGACTTGCAGGAGGGAGCTATAACTGGGAAGCAGGTTGTGCATTTTTAGATATATATGTAGATTTTAAAAACACAAAGTTCCCATGGAATCCAGTAGGAGTTATGCCTATGTGACCTTTGCTGGAGTATGGCCGTGACAGACATCTCATGCACCTTATTTGCAAAGTGTCCTTCGACAGCAGACTGCAGATGCTAACATTTTTAGCTGGGAGAAAAATAAATGTCTGACATCTGTCCATTCCTCCTCTCCTTTTAAGGCATGCAGATCGTGAAGAATCCTCAATATTACCCTTCATTTCTGCTGGCTTCACGAGGGTAAGTCTGGTGTTTGAAGTTGATATTTGTAGCCCATCTATATTTAGTTCACCTCTGAATACCGATAGTCTCAATTCATTTTGTGAATGCCCAGGAATAGATACCTGTTTGCTCCTACTTTGGAGACAAACCGTACTTTTCTGTGTAATAACACTCCCCCTAATTTTTTTTGGGGTGGGGTGGGGTTCAGAAAATCACTTACCAGACTGACAAACGTTGACTATCGCTCACATCGCAGAAGCGGCAGCCGTTCCAAAGCAACAATTGCTGCGGCGACCAATCACCCACCCATCCACCCAATGCCGCAGCAGCCAATCCAATCAAGCGCTTCACACAACCACCAATCACCAACAAAATCGCTGCTGACGAGCTCCTGCTCGAGCCTGCAACCAATCACCCATCTCCCACAACCCACTGTCTGTGTATAAGACACCCCTGACTTTTTTAACATTATTTTACAGTAAAAAAATCCTTGTCTTATACACGGAAAAGTACGGTGTGTGTGTGTATGTGCACACACACACTTACTGAGGGCACTTATATACTGCTTTATCATTAGCCTTTCCAAGTGGTGTACATAAAAACAAACCATGCAGAGAGTAAAACAATAAAAGCCACCCTAGATGTCCGCTGGAATAAGAAAGTCCTAGTCATGCCTGGATAGCTCATTCCGACTAAAGTTGAAAAATGTCCCCGGATTCATTGGAAAAAATCTGGTAACCTTAGTCTAGGACAAAGGAAGTCTCTTTGTGAGGTGAGGCAATAAACAGGGGTCAGCAAAGGTTTTCAGCAAGGGGGCCGGTCCACTGTCCCTCAGACCTTGTGGGGGGACGGACTATATATTTTTTGGGGGGGATGAACGAATTCCTATGCCCCACAAATAACCCAGAGATGCATTTTAAATAAAAGCACATATTCCACTTATGTAAAAACACACTGATTCCCGGACCGTCTGGATCCAGCCCAATCGCCTTCTCAATCCGGCCCGCAGACGGTCCGGGAATCAGCGTGTTTTTACAGCGTGTTTTACAGTAGAATGTGTGCTTTTGTTTAAAATGCATCTCTGGGTTATTTGTGGGGCATTGGAATTTGTTCATTTTTTATTTTTATTTTTCAAAATATAGTCCGGCCCCCGTCAAGGTCTGAGGGACAGTGGACTGGCCCCTTGCTGGAAAAGTTTGCTGACGCCTGGAGCAAATGAACGCTGACAACTTTTTGCATGCCATCCTATATGCCAAGTAAATAACAAGTAGGGCATGCGGCAAAATGTTGCAGTGTATTCCCCTCCCCATAAAAGTAGTTCTTTCTCTCAGAGCTCCTGCCAGCATGCATAAAAGCTGCATACAAAAATGCAATGTATTGGAGGGGGTTGCTTTGCAAAAGCGTGTCTGTTAGTTAGAGCTGCAAACAAAAATAGGTTTATTAGGAGAAATCGGCACTAAAATGCTTCTGTATTTTAATTGGGATAATTCCCTCCCCCCCCCCCCAAAAGCACAAATTTCTGCAGAAATGTGGAGAACTGAATTTAAGACTGGAAAAATGAGAAACTTTGGGAACCACAATTGGCAGATTTCTCTATCCCCTAGCTGCTATATAGGCTCATTGAACCTAAGTGGAAGTCTCACTGGGATCAATGGGACTTATTTCTCTGTAGACACGCTTGCCTTGTTAGGTAACTGCTGCCAGCATTGACTGATGCAGCACTAAATATATTAACAAGCATGACAAATGTACACATGCGCCCAATGACATTCTATTCCATATCCAGTAAGTGTTGTATATCTGCCCTTGTCAGGAACCTCTTCATAGTTGAGCAGAAGTCTGGGCAGGTGTGGGGTGCAGAATGTCTTTCCTCAGGAAATAATTTGCTATTTGCACGTAATTTGCTACCTAAATCACATCTCTATTTAGAGATAAATAGCCAATGCAGACATTGCACTTTTTTCTTTTTAAACAGAGATATGTAGAAAATCCCAACATCATGGCCTGTTACAACGAACTCATTCAGCTGGAATTTGGAGAAGTGCGGGCACAATTCAAACTAAGGTAATTTTACCTAAGCTGAACATCATTAGCATACTGTGTCATTCCAGATGTCGCCAGACTCCTAAGTCCCATCCTTCTTGGCATGAGAACCGGAGCAAGATGGTTTGAGCATATTACAATGGTGCCTCGCAAGACGAAAAGAATCCGTTCCGCGAGTCTCTTCGTCTTGCGGTTTTTTCATCTTGCGAAGCAAGCCCATTAGCAGTTTAGCAGATTAGCACTATTAGCGGCTTAGCGGGCTTAGCGGATCAGCTGATAAGCGGCTTAGCGGATCAGCTGATAAGCGGCTTAGTGGCTTAACGGATCAGCTGTTAAGCGGCTTAGCGGATCAGCTGTTAAGCGGCTTAGCGGATCAGCTGTTAAGCGGCTTAGCGGATCAGCTGATAAGCGGCTTAGCGATCAGCTGTTAAGCGGCTTAGCGGATCAGCTGATAAGCGGCTTAGCGGCTTGGGAAAAAGGGGGGGGAAAGGAAAAAAACCCCGCAGGAACTCGCAAGACATTTTCGTCTTGTGAAGCAAGCCCATAGGAAATTTGTTTTGCGAAGCACCTCCAAAACGGAAAACCCTTTCGTCTAGCGGGTTTTCCGTCTTGCGAGGCATTCGTCTTGCGGGGCACCACTGTACACCGATCCTGGTCCAACTGCACTGGCTATCAATTAGTTTCCAGGTCCAATTCAAAGTGCTGGTTTTGACCTATAAAGCCTTAAATGGCTCAGGACCGCAATACCTCAAGGACTGCCTATTTCCATATGAACCTACCCAGACCCTGAGATCATCTTATGAGGCCCTTCTACGTGTGCCTCCTCCACTTCAGGTCCGAAGGGTGGCAACATGAGAACAGGGCCTTCTCTGCAGTGGCTCCCCATCTGTGGAAGGCTCTCCCCAGGGAAGTTCACCAGGTGCCTTCATTATACACCTTTAGGCACCAGGCAGAAACATTCCTTTTTAACCAAGCTTTTCATTGATTTGACTGACATCCTATACCCTTTTAAAATGGGGGCGTGGGGGCGTTGTTGGGTTGTTGTTTTTATTTTGATTATATATTCTGTGGTTTTATATTTTGATTTTGTTCTGTGAACCGCCCTGAGACCTCCAGGTATAGGACTGTATATAAATTCAATAATTAACACAAAAATAAAAAACCCCTTGTGTGTGGAAGCTAACCTGTTGGTAAGAAGAGATCATTTCCCTAAGAAAGAAGAGGCCTTTGGGTCCAGCCAGTGATCCACGTGGTCTAGCAATCTTAACAATCTGTGTGCTCTGATTTCCGTCACCATGTCCCATTGCTCCAGAAGCGGTTTAGTCCTGCTGGTCACATGACCTGGAAAGCTGACTGCGAACCAACACTGGCTCCCGCAGCCTGAAAGCAAGATGAGCACTGCAACCCCATAGTCACCTTTGACTAGACTTAACCGTCCAGGGTCCTTTACCTTTACCTTTACCTATCATCCTGTATTCATGATGTCCAAGCAGATGTCTATGGGAATCCCACAACCAGGCCAGGAGCGTAAGAACAGTCTCCCCACTTGTGATTCCTACTGACTGGCGTTCAGAGGTTCACTGCCTCCAACAGAGGAGGTGGACTGTAGGTGTCATGGCAGGGTCTTGTGAGAGCTTTGAGTAGCACAGGAGGGCTGTGGATTCCCATCTACGATTCCCATCAACGCAGGAAGAGGTGCTATTGTTGAGATCTTTCCTCTGGAGACATCTAGGGTGGGAGAAGGGGCGCTAGTCCACAAGGTGTTTGTGAAGCACCGTATTTTTTGCTCCATAAGATGCAACCTGACCATAAGACGCACCTAGTTTTTAGAGGGGGAATGCAAGAAAAAAATATTCTTTAAAGGGAGCACTGAGCAGAGCCTGTCTGCATCCCAGGCTCTGCTCAGCGCTCCCTTTCACGAGCCGCGAGGAGTGTGTGTGCGGCGCTTGCAGGCTTTTCCCCGAGGAGGGAGAAGGGCAGCCCATCACTGATTGGGGAAAAGCCCCCAAGAGCTCTGCGACTCTTTAAAGGGTATTAAACGTATTAGAACCTCGAGGTCCATTCGGAAGGCGAGTGGGATGGATCAGAAATGATGTTGGGGAGAAGGCACTTGGGAGGACAGGATTCGTAGCGAAGTTAGTGGGAGCCTAGAGTTAAGAAGTTCCATCTTGATTCAGTTAGGAATCGTACAGCAGCTGGCACAGCGTGTTACGGTTGTTACAGCAGGCGGAAAAGATCATGACGTGGTCTGCCGAGACCCTCAGCAGTTTCCAAGTGGTCAGTGAGGGGCAAAGTTTGGGAACGGATGGTGGAGCTGAAATGAATAAATGTTCTCACCAAGCTTTTACCCTCTCTCTGTTTCCTTCTCCTTTTCCCTGTTGTCTCTCAGATCTTACATTTTAAAGTGTAAGCCCCTGGGGACAAGGACCTGCTGCTCTCTGGTAGTTTGAAATGCAGTGAGTTTACTGATGACACACACACTCTTTCTGTATAAATAAGTTAGCCTCTATACAGGCCAACTTTCTCTTTTTGCTGGGCTAGGCAAAAAGCCAAGTGGCCCGTCTAACTTCCTACTACAGTTCTTCAAAGCAGAATCATCTCTCTTGAATGTATTGCTCCGAGGTGGTGGTGGGTTTTTTTGGTCATTTATAGCCCTCAAAATTGCAAGCCGTGAAATTTGAATCTGATGAGTCCACTCCTTTCTTTCCTTTGCAGGGCTTGTAATTCAATCTTTACAGCGTTAGAGAAAAGTCAAGAAGCCATTGAGATTACAAGTGAAGACCATGTAATACAGGTTTGTTCTGGGTACTTTTACAAGTGTCAAATGCTGTTCCAAGGCCTCAGTTCACGGTGTTATAGCCATGTTATTGTATTGTAAATACGGTAAACTCACCATTTATGCAGGGTTTACATTTCAGAGATTGAGCCTAAAGCCAAAATAGTGTATAGTCAAAACCCATTGGGTTCAGTGGTGGGTGGGATTGTCAATGCCCTTTTCCCCTGGCCCCTTTCCACCTCTTTTTAATTTGTTATAAAACTGAATGTGCACAAGTTAAATGCGCATAAGTTGCAAAGCTACTGAACAGTGGTTGGTATCCAGTGCTAATCAGACCCATTTAAGTTAATGGACCTTCCTTAGGGTTGTTTTTTTATTGTTCCTTTGAAGCCATGCCTGTACCCACCCTGTAGACCTGACATTGCATATGACGCCAGACGCAGTAGGCTGGGTTGGCATGGCCCGCCTTGTATAGAGGAAGTACTGCTTTAGAAATGCAGAGCAAGGTTTAAAATCTGCCGACCGACGACCATGCCTTTCCTTTTGGTTTGACTGGAGTCCTTTATTTAAATCTCGCAGTACGTAAACCCTGCGTTTGAAACCGTGATGGGCTATCAGAAAGGCGAATTAATAGGAAAGGAACTAACAGAAGTGCCTACAAATGAAAAAAAAGCTGATTTCCTTGACACTATTAATTCTTGCATCAAGATAGAAAAGGTAAGTGCATGCCTTGGTTTGGCACCTGAGCGGTGAACCTGACGGGGTGGTGTTTTAGGACTGGGCTGCTCAGTCATGGAGCTAATTCTGAGGCCTTTGGGAAGTCACGATCTCTCAGCCCCATCTATTTGGCAAGGCTGCTGGGAACATAAAATGCAATGGCCCCACGGAAACTGAGCTGCATCACATGCAAATGCAATAAATAAATAAGATAGGATGAGCATACATGCCTGTTGAAGTAATAATAATAATAATAATACTTTATTATTTATACCTTGCCCATCTGGCTGGGTTTCCCCAGCCACTCTGAGCGGCTCCTAATCAAATATTAAAAACCCAATACAGCATTAAACATTAAAAACTTCCCTAAACAGGGCTGCCTTCAGATGTCTTTTAAAAGTAGGATAGTTGCTTATTTCCTTGATATCTAATGGGAGGGCGTTCCACAGGGCAGGCGCCACTACCGAGAAGGCCCTCCTCTGCCTGGTTCCCTGTAACCTCACTTCTCGCAGGGAGGGAACCGCCAGAAGCCCCTCGGAGCTGGACCTCAGTGTCCAGGCTGGACAATGGGGGTGGAGACACTCCTTCAGGTATACTGAAGTGGTATACTATTGCTGTAAATGCATGGTGCAGATTACACCCTAAGAAGCCACCTCAACAGGCTAGACAACTCAACAGGTTCAGCCAAGTGCAAACGATTGCGCCGGCCTCTCCTGCGCCTTCCAACATGCGAACAGAGCATTCATGCCAGAATCCTCTGAAACGATAGGTATGTGGCACGTTCCCTTAGAGACAGCTTGCCCCTCCTAGGACACCAAACAAAGTTTAAGTAGCCACGGAGGAGGAAGATAAGCCGTTGCTGTGTGGGCACGAAAGGCTGGCAGATGGGTTGCCGCTTCAAAGACATGCGTACGTCACAGCTTACATGCTGCCCTGTGTGAGTCAGGTGAGATGAATGGGCGGCGGTGGGTGCCACGTTCAGAAGTCCCAAGCCGTTGACGCTGCATTCGATGAAGATGCTGCAGTGAATCAGAGGCCCTACAGACATTAATGCATGCAGGAGTGGAAGGAAGAGAGAAATGAGTCATGGTGTGCCTGCATCAAAAGCCCAATCTGGAAAGGAAACGCTGTGGTTGCTGTTTGCATCTGGCCGTGAACGTGTGCCACAGCGTTCCCAGGAGGACTTTCAAATATGTCAAGTGGGGGGGGGGTGGAGCTAAAATGGCAGGTGTTTTTTGCACCAACTGAAATTGCATTTGATTACAACTCTTTTTATTTGTTTACATTGTTAATACACTGCCTCCAGAAACAAGAACATTTATCTTTTCAGGTTAAAAGAACTAATTTTACAACAAGGAAAAAATGCAGCATGATCTTAAAGCAACTTCATTTATTTGTTTGTTTGTTTGTTTGTTTGTTCAGCTTACGTTAGGCCCCATCTGCGTTATACCTTTAAAGCAGTAGCAAACCACTTTAAACAGTCATGGCCGCCACCCCATAGAATCCTGGGAGCTGTCGTTCGTTCAGGGTGCTGAGAATTGTCAGGTCACCTTTTTCTCCTCACAAAGCAACATTTCCAGAGTGCTTTCAGAATCAATCCGTCTTCCCAGGGAACGCTGGGAACTGTAGCTCTGTGAGGGGAGAAGGAGATATCCCAGCAGTTCCCAGGGTGCAGAGTGGCAAACACATCAACAATAGAGGGTTTTTTAAAATAAAAACAGTTTTAAACATTCTAAAAAGTGATCTCAGAAGTGCCACGAACAATGTTTTTCAGGTATCAAATGCCCATATAATGCAAGAATACAGTCAAACCTTGGTTGTTGAACGTAATCTGTTCCAGAAGCCCGTTCGGCTTCCAAAACGTTCAACAACTGAGGTGCAGCTTCTGATCAGTTGCAAGAGCTTCCTCAAGCGGAAGCTGCGTTGGACGTTCGACTTCCAAAAAACTTTCGAAAACTGAAACATTTACTTCCGGGTTTTTGGCGTTCAGGAGTCGAAACGTTCCAAAACATTTGACTGTATTTTTAAATTTATCCTGAAAGTCAATAATGAGGGAGGCAGGCAGACATCACCAGTTCCACAAATGGGGAACTGCCACTGAAAAGGCCCTGTCACAGGTAAACAAGCAGAGAGAGAAATAAAACTCCAACCAAGCAGAGAATAAAACTCATGAAAGCTAAAGCAGGCCTAAAAGCTGAGTTTAAAAGGCCCGAACGAAGGACGAGGGAGGCTTGGCCTGGTGCAAAAGAACATTCACAACTGTGGCCCTCCAAATATTTGTTGGGACTATAGCACCCATACGCCCTGACCATTGTGCTTCTATGGACATAAAGGGGCCAGAACCCTCAAAAGAGGTCGATGAAGACTTAGTAGGATTGTGGCTCTCATGATAAATGCCTTTTTTGATGTGGCGGGTTGCCCACGGAATCCTTCCACCAGCAGCTGCTTTGCCTGTGCCTCCTGTCACGAAGCTCAGATGTGATTATCTGGGGTGAAATTGGCAAATCTGCGCGCGAAATCGGTGAGGATGGCTGTTTGGCGTGCTCAGATCGGATCATGGTAGCGACCTCTCCTTGGTCATAAAATGAGGAGCTCAAGCTTTCTTTAAATATATGTGGACCTTTTTTTTGTGGGGCCACGATTCAGATTTAGGGCCAAATTAAGCGTGCCGCTTAGTGTTTTAGCAGTCTTCCTTTTCTTTTTAAAGAAAGGACTAGCTAGGAGAGGCAGGGAGACAACCCTAACCCTAACCCTTTCCTCATCCACTGCCACCCGTCATGCTGTGAGGCTCAGACTGGGTCTTGGACAAAGGAAGTTTCTGTGTGAGGTGAGGCGATAAGAGATTCAGGCTGGCTTCAATGCAAGGTTGCGGCAGATTCAAGGTACAGCAGAGCTCAGACTGGGTTCAGGGCTCAAGATGTGTTAGAAGAGCAACACATAACTCTGACGTTGCTTCAGCAAGGAAAAGAGACTGAGCCCAGTACACAAGAAGGCACATCAGCTGAATTACTAGCCCTGGGGAGCCACTGGGCTTGCAGGGTGGTCCTTCTCCAATGGAGTCCTCTGAGTCTGAGGAAGGCAGTTCCACATCCTCAGGCTGGAGGCCTCTGTGGGTTTGTCTGATATCAGCAGGCAAGAAAAGGACACGGGTGGCGCTGTGGAAGGTCGGCGGTTCGAATCCCCACGACGGGGTGAGCTCCCGTTGCTCGGTCCCTGCTCCTGCCAACCTAGCAGTTCGAAAGCATGTCAACGTGCAAGTAGATAAATAGGTACCGCTCCAGCGGGAAGGTAAACGGCGTTTCCGTGCGCTGATCTGGTTTGCCAGAAGCGGCTTAGTCATGCTGGCCACATGACCCGGAAGCTGTACGCCGGCTCCATCAGCCAATAAAGCGAGATGAGCACCGCAACCCCAGAGTCGGTCACGACTGGACCTAATGGTCAGGGGTCCCTTTACCTTTACCTTTACCTTTACCTTTATGGCAAGAAAAACCTTCCTTCCTCTCTTGCTTCAGAGCCCTTGTCTCCTGACAAACTGGAATGGACATGTGGGGAACTGAACTTCAGAATGGAAAACGGAGAGGAACTGAAAGTTACAGATTATCCCATCCCATAAGAGCAGCTCACTGTGGAGCTAGTTATTTGTTGGTTGATTTGCTCGCCGCCCATCTGACTGGGTTACCCCAGGCACTCTGGGTAGCTCCCAGCAAAGAAATAGCAAAAGCACAACCCAACATCAAACCCTAAAAACTTCCCTGATGTCTTTTAAAAATCACATAGCTGTTTATCTGATGGGAGGGCGTTCCACACGGAGGGCGCCACTACCGAGAAGGCCCTCTGCCTGGTTCCCTGTAACCTCGCTTCTCACAGTGAGGGAACCACCAGAAGGCCCTTGGAGCTGGACATCAGTGTCTGGGCTGAACGATGGGGGTGGAGGCACAGTTGCCTTTTAGAGGCATTAAAAATAATAATCAAAGGCCCCATGTGCCCTGTACATTTAAAACAGTATCATACCACTTTAAACAGTCATGGCCTCCCCACAAAAATCATGGGAACTGTGGTTTGATAAGGATGTTGAGTTGATAAACAATCAAACCCCTTTCTCAGCGAACTCGGAATCATAGCTCCATGAGGGGAACAGGGCTCTACTAACATCTCTCAGCCCCTCTAACAGCCTACAGCTTCCCAGATTCTTTTAAAGTGGTATGAAGCTGCTTTAAATGTATTGTGCAGATGGGGCCTAAAGGCACAAATCTGAAGTCTTATGTGAAAATAGTTTTAATGAGAAAGAGAGAGAAAGCTGGGGGGATTTGTCCCTGAGCTCCTAAGTCGAATGTCATCTTTACTTGACCTTGATTCCCATCTGCAGGAATGGCAAGGAACCTACTACACTAAGAAGAAAAATGGAGAGAGTATACAACAAAATGTGAAGATCATACCTGTCATTGGACAGGGAGGGTAAGCCTCGAAATCAAAACTGAATATTGGTATTGTCGTTGTCGTCTTAAAACGAACCACTCATAATTGTGGGGAATGGCTTGCTATGAAGTGCATGATCAGGAATCCTGAGGACTTTAGCCATTTTTTAAAATAAAGTTTGTAGTCCTCATGGTGAAGGCTCAGACAATAGAATGAGACTTCCTCTGGTCAGGTTTCTCGTCTACCTCCCAATGCAAAAAGCAGAGTCAGACCACTGGTCCATCTGGCTCAGTTTTGTCTACTTGGATGGGCAGCGACTCTCCAGGGTCTCAGTCTTTTCCCATCCCTACTTGGAAAAACCAGGACTTGAACCTGGGACCTTGTGTAGCCAAGGCAAATACTTTGCTACTGAGCTATGATCCTTCCCCAAGGCTCCTGCTCCTGCAGTGTTCCTGTAACCTGGGGTGGCTCACCTGGAATTCTCCAGGTGCTTCATAGACTCCACCTCCCATCATCCCTGACTCTTGACCACTCCAGCTGGGGCTAATAGGAGTTGGAGGCCAACAACATCTGGCTTAACACAGGCTAGCCACCTCTGCTACAACCCACCAAACTAGGATAGACATTTTAGGCTAAAATGTATTTTTAAAAATAAATAAATAATCAGATCTTAAGAGAATCAAAATCTAAGAAGCCAAAATATATAATCTGTCCCGTTGCTTGTCTTTCTTTTACAGAAAAATTAGACACTATGTGTCACTTAGTAGACCATGCAATGACAACAGTAAGGTAAGCAGAACAGGTATTCCAGCTTAACTAGAAGCGGGGAGGGGATGCGTGATAGGAAGGGCGAGGAAATGTTTCGGCCCTCTGTGGGCCAGTTCTTTATCTTCCTCCATCCCTGCAGGCCAACTTTGACAGGTGTATAAGGTCACCCACCTCTGATTTCATGATGATGGCTGGGGACTTAGAGGTGGGCAGTCTCACCCATCTGTCAAAGGTGATCTGTGGGGCAGAGGGAGGGGGTCTGTGTCTCCAGTGTGTTCCCCACAGGTGAAGCAGCACCCTCTAGGACTGAACCCTCCTCTCACCAGCTGATAAGGGAAGGGTTCAGTCCTGCTGGGTGCAGGGGTCTGCTTCACAGGATTGAACTGGAGCCATGAGCCAACTGGGAACCTTTGGCAGGCCAGATTTGGCCCAGAGGCTCGAGGTTCCTAACCCCTGCACCAAAGGTTGATCCTATTGTTCTGGCTAATTTCTCCCCCCCCCCTTTTTTTTTTTTTACTTGCAGGCTGAAAGGGTCTGTGAACGTGTCCAAGCTGAGTCCCAGACAGGTACGGCACTGCAAGTTTTGTTACGAGAAAATCTCTCGCATTTTAATAACAACAGCTCAGCCTATTGCCACCCACCAAGACATTCCTTCATAGTAAAAGGCATAAGCCGAAACTCATTTTAGAAATGCGTTTACTTGAGGCAGTTAAGAGGAATGATTAAAAACAGAAAGAAAGTGTCTGATCTAAAACTCCTAAGGCATTTGCACAGCGCTGGTAAGGACACCAACATAGGTCAAATGCTTGTTGAAACAAGTAAGGGCTTAGCAGTTGTATAGTGTCGGGGTTGGCACCCTTCATCCCTAGACCTAATTTCAAAAAATCCCACAAGTGATCAGTTCAGACGTCTGACCAGAGAGATCCTTCTTTCTCCTATCAGCCCACTGTGGGGATTGGGGGGACCGTGCAGATGTAGCAACAGATGTGACCCAGATGTGTACAGTTGCATACACTTCAGCTGAGCAAACGTCAGAGGACAAAAGCAGCTAAGTCGGGTGTGGAGGTGAGAGGCGTGGCCTGGGGAGATTCCCAAGGGCCATATAGGGGCTTCTGGGGGCCACATTTGGCTCCCAGGCCTGAGGTGCTCTACACCTACTCTAGAACGCCATGTGCTACCATGTTGTTGTTGTTGTTGTTGTGGTTGTTGTTGTTGTTGTTGTTGACGTTGACCTAATATCACCTCAAGGCCCCAGGGCATGTTCCAACATCAAAACAAAATATAAAAACAGTTTAAAACAACTCAGAGGTCCAGCTCCAAGGGCCTTCTGGCAGTTCCCTCCCTGCAAGAAACGAGATTGCAGGGAACCAGGCAGAGGGCCTTCTTGGTAGTGGCACCTGCCCTGTGGAACGCCCTCCCACCCGATGTCAAGGAAATAAACAACTATCTGACTTTTAGAAGACATCTGAAGGCAGCCCTGCTTAGGGAAGTTTTTAATGTTTGATGTTTTATCATGTTTTTAATATTCTGTTGGGAGCCGCCCAGAGTGGCTGGGGAGACCCAGCCAGATGGGCAGGATATAAATAATAAATTATGTTATTATTATAACTTGAAATAATAGGAATAAGGTGGGTCCTAAAAATAAACACCTTGTGTGAAAAGCCAGGCTAAAATACAATAATCTATTAAACAGTAAAAGCTTCCCTAAACAGGGCTGCCTTCAGATGTCTTCTAAAAGACTTCTAAGCCCTACTTAGAATCACACAATTGTAGAGTTGGAAGGGACCCTGAGAGTCATCTAGTCCAACCCCGCGCAATGCTTGGGATTGAACCTGGGACTGTCTGCAAGCAAAGCAGATGAGATGCCACTGAATTGCAAGTCCTTCCCCAGAGGTTAGTATTTCGCATGTGAAGGGGGCACTGCGCATCTCTGCTAGGCAGGCTCAAGCACAGAGTACACCACACTAGGCAATCCATAATATTTGCAGAGCAATGAAACAGTTCTCTGGGAAGGAGACTAAATAACAGGCCAACTATCTGCCCCAGGCAGCTGTGTTTCAAAGCGGACAAGGAATCAAGGCAACCTTGACTGTTTAGTGGGCTTGTAGGAGAAGGAGATTCCAACTTCATTTCCTACTCCTTAGGAACAGTAGCTGATACAGCTTCCTAAATCTAGATTTAAATGTGTCAAGGACGGAGTCTTGAGTGTTGTCGTGGCTGGGATGGAAATCTCCCAAGGACATGTTTACGTGGGTTCCTCTGCAACGGTCACAGGTGTTTGGGAATCCACAAGGCACAACTTGCTATAGCGTTGAGGTAGAACAAAACAGCAGATTTTGCTCCCTGTCAAAGTTCAGCTGATTGTCACCAATTGGATTTATTGATTTATTGTTAACTGTTGTTGGGAGTAACATTGAGGCATCCCAGAATATGGTTTGAAGTAGGGGCTAGGCAGTTCTTCCTTGGCAAGGAGTTCCAGAGCTTGAGAGCAGTACATTTCCGAGCACAATTCAAAGTGTTGGTGCTGAGCTTTAAAGCCCTAAACGGCCTGGGTCCAGTATACCTGAAGGAGCATCTCCACCCCCATTGTTCAGCCCAGACACTGAGGTCCAGCGCCAAGGGCCTTTTGGCGGTTCCCTCCCTGTGAGAAGTGAGGTTGCAGGGAACCAGGCAGAGGGCCTTCTTGGTAGTGGCGCCCGCCCTGTGGAACGCCTTCCCCAGCAGATGCCAAGGAAATAAACAACTATCTTACTTGTCTAGGACAGAACAACGGGGGTGGAGACGCTCCTTCAGGTATACCGGGCCGAGGCCGTTTAGGGCTTTAAAGGTCAGCACCAACACTTTGAATTGCGCTTTGAACTGCTCTGAGGCTCTGGAACTCCTTCCCAAGGCAGCCCTGTTTAGGGAAGTTTTTAATGACTGATGTTTTAATGTATTTTTAATATTCTGTTGGAAGCCGCCCAGAGTGGCTGGGGAAACCCTGCCAGATGGGGAGGGTATAAATATTATTATTATTATCATCTGAGAAGGTTCTCTCACCTTCCTAAATGGGGATGTCCTTTTTCACAGCAGCAATTTCTTGCCTCTACAGATATCCAGAGCTGCAGGCACAAAGACAGGCGGAAAGGCTCTTTAGATGTCAGATCGACCACTTCTCGGGGCAGTGATGGTATGTTACATGAGTCCATCTGTTTCCAATGTGCGGGAGGATTGTGCCGTTGCTTATGTAGCCAAAACTGAACCACCCCTGTAGAAAAGAGGAGTCTCAACAAGCTTGGGAGAACCCCAAGGTTTTCAGAAGTACAGTAACATCTGGGGAGGGGATCTTTTGGGTAAGAGAAACCCCAACAACAGCCCAATTCAGTCTGCTTCCTGGCTGCTTGCAGGAAGAAATACAACAGAGGGGGCACAAAATGGAATGGAGCAAGTGGAACCGAATGCAAGCTTTTATCACAGGTCCAATTTGTCATTATTAGTATTAATATCATTTTATTTGTTTATATCCCACAATATCATAGAATTGTAGAGTTCGAAGGGACCCTGAGGGTCATCTAGTCCAACCCCTTGCAATGCAGGAATACGCAGCTTTCCCATACGGGGATTGAACCTGCAACCTTGCCGTTACCAGCACCATGCTCAAACCACCCCAAAACCAGGATTCATGACAGCTCAGAAAAATTGAAGCAAATACAGAGAAAACAGACATAGCTTTAAAAAAAACTTATAAAAATATTTTAAAGGGATTAAACTGTTTATGGAATGAAAACAACATAAGACCATATCTGTTAACATGCAGAAGGGGGAAAATACAGTAAAGAGACCTTTCCTTAAAAGCAGTCAGTTCCCCCAAAGCCTGCCAGAATAAAACAGTCTTCCACCTCCTGGTGGAAGGACAACAAGGAGGGAGCCAGTCTGGCCTCTCTGAGAAGGGAGTTCCGAAATCTGGGAGGAGCCACTGAGAAGGCCCTCTCCCACATTCCCCTTAAAGGTGCCTGGGAAGAGAGAAGGGTCTGGGCAGAATATGACCCTTCAGATATTTAAAATATTTTTAATTGCTTTATGAATTTGGCACCTTTATACCCAAAACAAACATTCTGTTTGTGAGCTTCAAGTTCTCTCATTTCCCCCCTCTAACCTCATTTGTTTAGTTCATGTGAAACATGATCGTGTAATTTTGAAAAAATAATAATATATATGTGTTGAAGAAAATGGGAAAATTGGGTTATCATGAAATCTCAATGCAGCCTCTTTGAGGAAGGCAGTAAAACATACAAGCTTTTATGCTGTAGGTTGCTGGATGTGTGTGTGTGTGTTATGTACTTTATGTGCCTTTGATGCTAAATGTTAATATTATTTCTACTGCATGTTTAAAATGTAAGCTGCTTTGGAGACCTTCTGGTTCAAAAAAGAAGCAGCTTGTGATAGGTTAACATTGTCCACTAATTTTATTCCACTTTATTCTGCATAGGCAGTTCACAGAGAAGGCATTCCTCTATGGCCAGAATACATTCCATGACTATTGAAGCACCCATTACCAAGGTGAGACACTACCGTTTGAGTTCATTGAGATCCAATGGCTTCATTTTTCCCTAGGAATTTGCCTTTTCCCCTTACAAAACTACCATGCTCCTACACAGGCCCCCCACATATTACCATGGGTTTACATGGGGAAAATGTTCTGCTATATGCAGCCAAAGGCCACATAGAAGTAATAGGAAACCATGGTGTCCTGTCCTGGTCCAGACAATGAACCCATGTAGCGTGATGGAGGAAGACAGGCCTGTAGTTGCAATACCAAGGACAGCTCCAAATGAGCAACGTTCTCTGATGGCTGGAGGTGAACTAAGGCCTTTTGAGCCTCTGTCTCCAAACCATCTTTTATGCTCTGTCCTCTTGGTTGGAGAACTGCAGGCTCAGGCCAACCCTTTGGCCTGAAAGTGGACATTTCTCCTTTACTCTCTAGCTTGGTGTGCTGCCTGCACTATTGGACCAGCGCCATAATGTAGGAGACACACAGTTCCTTAGACTCTGGGGAAGGGGGCTGTGGGCATACTTGGGGTTAGGAGACCCTGAACGTGGTGTTCAGTGGGCCACTGTCAGCCTTCAGTGAACCCTGATAGTCAGCACCAGCCTCAGAGCCAAGCACCTCATCCAGATATTCAAAGAATGGCCTTGGAACTCCCCCTCCTTCTCCTCCAGCTCCAAGACCAGGACCGCGACACATGGTTTTTCGCTACAGACAAGAGCAAGCCTACATGAGCCACACAGTCGTGTCTTCTATTACAAGTGCAAAATGAACTACTTTTGCAGTTATATTTTTTGTTACCACAAGTTAGTAAGAACTCAGTTTTCTGCTGTGCTGACTGCTAATATTTTCTGACCACAAGCAAGGACTTTGGCTGTAATATTTATACAAACAGGGTTCAATGTGGTTAACTGGTTTAATGAGACAAGTCAGTTTCAAAAACCAAAGTTCAAAGTTACGACAAACAATCGTTAAGATGAAACACACTTTGTCTGAGTTTTGGCATAACGCTAAACTGCTGTTATTTAAAAATGGAAGGGAAAGCTTCTGATCTTGTGGGTGAATCAGAGGAGAGCAGAAAACACTGAGATTGATTCAAATAACTAAACCAGCATGCCCCAATGTGATGACCTCAATATATTTTGGACTACCGCTCTCATAAACCCTGCCCATTGGCCATATTGACTGGGGCTGATGGGAGTTGTAGTCCAAAACATCTAGAGGGTTCCATTTTGGGGGGAAGGGATACTTGTCTAAACCATAGTTTAGCATTACGTCTGAATGAGGTCACTATAGCCAATATGGAGCTAGATGACCAATCGTCTCTGACTCTAACACAGCTTCCTATGTTCCTGTGCTTTTGACAGTCAAATCTGACTTCTTGAATTGCTTGTTGAAATCTTTCCTTCAACCTAGGTAATAAATATTATCAATGCTGCACAAGAAAGTAGTCCCATGCCGGTTGCTGAAGCCTTAGATCGAGTTCTTGAGATCTTGAGGACCACTGAATTGTATTCTCCACAACTTGGGACGAAAGATGAAGACCCACATACGAGTGACCTTGTTGGAGGTTTGATGACAGTAAGTAGAATCTGCTTCTTGATTAATGTTGTCTGAACCTTAAGTGAGCCAGTGTGGTGGGATATGGTATTTTTTTATTTTTTTAAAAACACTATATTATGGGGAACCCTGGGGTGCCTCAGAAATCCTTTGGAACTTCTTCAACAAAGACAGTCATGACAGATAAAATTTGTGGCAGATAAAAAACACATGACAGTGAGGCCCAACAATCCTGAAGAGCCTAACCAGGTTAACTGTCATGGCTTTCTCACAAGGAAACCTTGGGGAGGTGGCTTGGCGGGTCGTGGTTAGGGGAGATTACCCAGCAACCTCACAAAACTACAGTATCCAGGATTCTCTGGGGGAGGTAATGACAGTTAAGCTGGTGTGAAATGGGGTTTCAGTTTTTAATGCAGATGTATCCTTTATTGTTTGGTTGTTAGTAAAGGTAAAGGGCCCCTTGACCATTAGGTCCAGTTGTGGCCGACTCTGGGGTTGCGGCGCTCATCTCACTTTATTGGCTGAGGGAGCCGGCGTACAGCTTCCGGGTCATGTGGCCAGCATGACTAAGCCGCTTCTGGTGAACCAGAGCAGCGCACGGAAATGCCGTTTACCTTCCCGCCAGAGCGGTACCTATTTATCTACTTGTACTTTGACGTGCTTTCAAACTGCTAGGTTGGCAGGAGCAGGGACCGAGCAACGGGAGCTCACCCCGTGGCGGGGATTCGAACCGCCGACCTTCTGATCAGCAAGTCCTAGGCTCTGTGGTTTAATCCACAGCGAATGAATAAATATTTTTTTTAGCATGGGTTCTTTTCAAATGTGTTCACACATAAGTTGGTGGGGTCCCGTTTCTGCATTAATCCATGATATTTTTGATATATTTAAAAAAAAACAAAAAACATGCATGTAAAGTTGCGTTTGAAGATTTGTTTTTGAACACATCTTCTCATAAAATACACATTTCTTGATGAATTTTCTCTGGAAAAATGCATTTTGAAATGTGTTTTGATACGTTATTTGAGCTGAGGACTGTGTCCAAAGATTAAGGAAGTGTGAAAGCCGGTGGGTAACAATGTCAAGCATGTCTCCTCAGAAGTAAAACCTACTGAATTTAGTGGGGCTTTCTCCCAAGTAAGTGGGGCTGGGTTTGCAGCTTTGGTTCCAACCTGCACTGTTAGTCTTGGGGTGTTTGGGGTGTGCACAAAGAATTACGTCAGCTCACACCAGAATGCGCTAAGATTGAATTTCGCAGGCTTCTCTAGTGAAACAAGGGCTTCATAAGAGAGAGGACTGGCTTTCAGTGAATGAGGAGTGCATTCATGTTAAGCGTGTTAATGGATAACAAAGTGCTCAAGAAACTGTTTTTCATGGTGGTGGATCAAGTCTACCCCCCTTGTTGATTCTGGAAGGTGCACAAGAGCTTTGTTTTGCAGTCATGTGCTTTTGGAGGAAGTGTCAAGCAGCTGTTAAGAGCCAGGCAGCTGTCCCCTCTTAAGTCACAAAGCTCCAGACTAATTGATTTATTGTTCTTAAAATAGAAGCCAGATGCAGACAGACCAGCTGCAGCTTCCTGCAGCTTGAGTGTATTACCTTTGCGCTCAGCTTGAAGTCTGAAGGTTGGGTGCACTTGTCGTTAAGGTCCCTTTGAAATCGATGGGGCTTGTGTTAGTCACGACGCATATAAGCCCCAGTGATTTCAGTGGGCCTGGAGTGCAGAAGCAACTCACCTGGTGGGGTTCAAACCACAATGCTAGTTTCTAGGCTGCCTCATCCCTTGCCCAGTCCCGCTGTCAGGAATTTCACACAAGGGACGAGCTCCTTGAGCCACAGTGTGACTCTGGGGAGAAGGCGTTGTTTCAGTAAGCATGGCGGCGCTGTGGTCTGAACCACTGAGCCTCTTGGGCTTGCTGATCAGAAGGTCGGTGGTTCGAATCCCCATGATGGGGTGAACTCCCATTGCTCTGTCCCAGCTCCTGCCAACCTAGCAGTTCGAAAGTACACCAGTGCAAGTAGATAAATAGGTACCACTGCGGCGGGAAGGTAAAACGGCATTTCCGTGCACTCTAGTTTCCGTCACAGTGTTCCGTTTCACCAGAAGTGGTTTAGCCCTTCTGGCCACATGACACAGAAAGCTGTCTGTGGACGAACACCGGCTCCCTCGGCCTGAAAGCGAGATGAGTGCTGCAACTCCATAGTCGCCTTTGACTGGACTTAACCATCCTTGGGTCCTTTACCTTTACCTAAGCATGGCTAAGTCCGTTTGCAGCTTTAAAGCTTAAATTCAACATTAGGGATGGAAGGATCTGACCATTTGGGTTCTCTTGGTTCCTCATTTTTCCCTGTCTTCAATTTAGTTCTCTACATTCCGCAGCCACTTTTTGAAAAAAATCCTCATGCCTTCAGCATTTTAGCACAAATTTCTCCTAATGGACACATTCTTGTATGCAGTTTTGACTAATGTCTGCGTCTTTGCAAGCAGTTTCTCCTAATGTAAAGCATTTTTGTATGTCTTTTTCACTAATACGTTCATTTTTTATGCACACTTTCCCCTAATACATGCATTTTCCTAAACATTGTGTGGTTGGAGAACTCCCTTGCAAAATCTGGATAAGTCTGAATTTCGAAAGATGGCTGTGGTTCGGCTCTCATATTGTTTCAGAAAGTGCAGATCTCATAAATTCAGCTTTAAATGCCAGCTATATCGAATTCCTCCCTCCCCAGCATCTTATATTGTACCCATAAATCAACTGATGATGAGCATACCTCTTTTAGGACCAGTGAAATATGGCCAATTCAGCCAGAATGACTGCTCCACTCCATGGGTTGCATCCGACAAAGGTTTACACAAAATAGCTCCATTAAAATTGAGGTCATGTCTACTTATTTCATTGGATCTACTCTGAGTAGGGCTAAGATGGAATATAACCTAGTACTCCAAGCACTTTCTTCCCCATGTGCATCTGGAACAGTAAATTTATATATAATAATTCCCCCCCCATTTGCTATTTTCAACTCTTTCTTAAATAGGATGGCCTACGAAGATTATCAGGGAATGAGTATATATTATCAGCAAAACGTAAGTCTTCTCATCGCAAAGTATGCATTTTCTTTATCTGTTCTAGAATTGGTGACTTTTATAAAATGCATTTTATAAACTTTTATAAAATACAACCAAATATTATTTTAAACAAAGAATTTGTGTAGTTTATTGTACAGTGGTACCTCGGGATGCAAACGGGATCCGTTCCGGAGCCCCTTCACAGCCTGAATGGAACGTAAGATGCAATGGCACATGCGCAGGTCGCGTTTTGCCACTTCCGCGCATGCGCGTGGCGTCATTTTGAGCATCTGCGCATGCGCGAGCGGCGAAACCCAGAAATAACGCACTCCGTTACTTCCGGATTGCCGCGGAGCGCAACCCGAAAGCGCTCAACCTGAAGCACATTCAACTCGAGGTATGACTGTGCAATTACTGCTTATAACTAACAATTAGGGAAGTGGTTGCACCCAATGAGCTTATTCCAGAAAGCCTATGGACGCTTTATCAGTTAAATCTGTATTGGTTTTATTCATTCATTCATTACTTCTGAAGCACCTGTGCTGAGATTAAAAGTGATTTGCAGGCTCACAATCTATAGATAGGAGACAAAACTCGAAAGGCACCCATTTTTGAGGGTTGCATAATCTCAGCTGTTTACAAAGTATACACCAGGGGCTGCCAACATGGTGCCCCTGAATGTTGTGGCTGCCTTGTAATCTTCCCCTGCTGCCCACATGGGCTCTGACATCTCCACTCCCTTCCCCCTTCTCCCTTGAAAAATACATAGAGAAGGAAGTTGCAAGAGGGACACTCTTTCCCACTTCCTCTTTCAACTCTTATGTGATTTTTACCCAGACCCATTGGAAAAGTGGGGTTTGTGCGCACTCTCTGTTTCTGTCTCTTGGCGGGGTTGGGTTGCAGGGAGCTGATCTAGGGAAACACAGAGGGAAATTCTCAGAGGTGTTGGAGCTCACGACACTCACTCCAAAAAACCAGTTGTGCTCAGAGGTCCAGAAATAGTTGGCAGCCCCTGAAAACCTTGCAGTCCTGAGCTTTTCTGGCTGACAGACAGATACAGAGGTTGCTTCCTGTCAACTCTGTGGTCTGAAGACAGCCAGCAGCTGGAGGGTGGAGGGAGCAGAGTTCCCTGCAGATGTGCCTTCTCTGTTTGTTGGATGGGGTCAGGTTTGCCTTCCTCTTTCTCTCAGGGTTTTTTTCATTTATTTATAGGAAGTAGGAGGTGCAGCCTTTGATCCCGAAGCTGATGCCAGAGGCCAGTTCATGCTTTATAATTTCCTCCCACTGTCTTGTTTTCTCCCATAGAAACTCATCAGGTCCCAGGCAGTTTAATTTCGCCCATCTCCCTTAATGACATACCACCAAGGATAGCAGAAGCAATGGAAAACGAGGAATACTGGGACTTCAACATCTTTGAATTGGAAGCAGCAACCCATAAAAGGTTTGTTGTCAAGCAAGTAAAACAAAAAGAACAGTGTTTCCCAAACTTGGGTCTCCAGCTGTTTTTGGACTACAACTTCTATCATCCCTAGTTGGCAGGACCAGTGGTCATGGTTGATGGGGATTGTGGGACCCAAGTGTGGGAAACACTGTTCTAAACTGCTTTGCAGTCTGAAAATAAGTAATCTGAAACATTAAAAAGTGATGCTCGAAGTGACTTTTAAAACCCTGGCCAACCTAGTCCCAAAGAAGTAAGGGGAGAACATTTGCTGTGCTGAGACCCTGTTTTTCCTCTGTTTCCCATCCAGAATAGACACTTCCTGCCTTGGCTTAATTTAATGTGCTAGAGACATGTTGTCAAAGGCTGAGGCTGCCCAGGATGCTTTGGCGCTTGAGGCAGAAATCCTAGCTGGCATCTCCCTAGTTCACCCTGGTGGCAGGAATACAGCAATAAACTTTTTACAGTGTTTCAGATTTTCCAACTGAGGCAGGCAATCTCACTCTGCTTAATGGGAGCTCAGCGCTTGACCCAGGGCTATCTGATAGCATCCTATAGGCCAGATTTAGCCTGCAGGACCTTAGTAGTTAGTGCCTACCCTAAAGTTTCATTTATAAGCCCTTTGCCAGTCGTAGCGCAATGGAAGTTTTATTTCGAGATAGTTGCATTATTTTTGAGACTAAGACTGTATTCATGCAGCAACTTATTCCATTTCTCCAACACCTCCCTAACTGTTCATGTCTGCATTATATTTCAGTTTTCACATGATGTAAAAGCCACTTCTGGAAAACTTGTGAAATGTAGTGCATGTTTAGCGCTCATTTCCATATCACTGGATTCCAGAAAAAATCCATTTGTAGCCCCCTCAACCTGGAAAATTACAGGAGTAAAGTGATGAAATTTGGGGCATTATACCAGCATGTAGTTTTTTCCTGCTGTTTTCATGGAGGAATAGAAACACACATGTGCAGAAAACACAGGAGAATAGCGACATTGTCCAGTGACATCCATTGCTGTTTTGCAGCGCACCCACTGCTATCAGTGAAATTTAGTGCATCATGCTGGTATCTCATTCAAAAAGCTGCAGTTCCACAACAGAACAGGTACTGCAATGGGTAAGGAATGTGAGAAAACAAGACGGAAGCCCTAATATTACAGTCAGGAAAACTAAGACAGTATTCCCCACGTCTGAATAAAATGTACATGAACAGCAATATTTCTCTGGCTATTTCTGCCTTTAGACAACAGCTGGACAGAGGCTGCTCTCGTGTTCTGATTTCACTTCTCACAGCCTGAATAGCAGCTGTTGGGGAATCACAAGTCAGAAGAATGCTCTTTTGCTCAGATCCTGCTTTAAGGTGTCTCATTGGCCACTTTGGGAACAGGATCCTTGAGAGTAGCCTGATCCTGCAGGGTTCTCTGTATGTTACCATCCCCAGCTTTTACCATTCTGATAATGTTGACGGCGATTCTCCTTTCAGGGCAATTTCGTTGAACTTCTTTCTTTCTGTTTCTCTTCCCACCCCACCCCTTCAGGCCTTTAGTTTACCTTGGTCTCAAAATGTTTGCCCGATTTCGGATCTGCGAGTTCCTCAATTGCTCAGAGTCGACCCTGCGATCATGGCTGCAAGTCATCGAAGCCAACTATCATTCGTCCAACTCCTACCACAACTCGACTCACTCTGCTGATGTGCTGCACGCCACGGCCTATTTCCTTTCCAAGGAAAGGGTCAAAGTAAGGACAGCTTCTCAGGAGAGAGGTGGAAGGAAGGGGGACCAGTGGTGGCTGGTGCCCATGGGGCTGGTGGGGCGGAAGGCAGGCAACCTACCCGTAGGCAGAGGCAGAGCTAACAACAGACAGAGGCAGAGCTATATAATTCCAGTTTCCCCTCCATCCTGACTTCCACAAAGGAAACCTTAAGGAGAAGGCAGCTGACAGGCAGAGCTACCCCCCCTGGGCTGGATGTAAGTCAGAAGACAAGCAGGTGTGGGGAGCAGATTGAGGTTGGTGGGGCAGCACCCCACTTGCGCTGATGTGCCAGTCTTCACTGATAGGAAACCATCAGACGCTGGAGTCTGGTGTAGGTCAACAATAAAGCATCCAATATCAGCAAAGTTAACTCCTTATTCAAAGAAACAAAACAGCTCAGTCCTGGTGGTCACAGCAACCCTTCCCAGTGGGTCTTGCCCCAATGAGGCAGTTGCGAGAACTGCCTTCCCACTGCTCTCGTAAGACTCCTCCTTTCCCAGGTCCTTCCTCAGCAACCTGAGGCTCCTTCGTCTTGTATCTTGTTGCTCTGCTCTCTTTGTTTCTCTGCTCTGCATGTTCTGGGAGACCAGCAGGGAGAGGAGCTGGTTGCAGCAAGAGGGGAAGACTCCCTGGCCTCTTCAGCGGCCTGTCTTATCTCTGTCTCCTAGCCTTGCTCCTCTCCTGCCTCTGAGTCTGGGCTGCCCTCTGCCACAGCCTCTTCCCGCTCACTAAACCCTGTTGCATCTTCAGCTTCCGACACCTCCTCTTCCCTGGCTGCTCCCTCTTCTCCCTCGGATCACGCATTGTGGTCCTACCACCAGTCCCCGAAGCCTTCTTCCCTTGGGGGTTCCCCAGCTAGTGCCTTCTTCCACTGCTCTGCACCCAACCAGTCCATTACAAGAAGAGACCAGACCAGTTTGTCCACCTAACTCAGAATTGACGTAGTGACTCTCTAGGGTCTCAGGCTGAGAAGGGGCCTCCCCATCATCTGTTATTTGGTTCTTCTGATTGGAGATACCAACTTTGACATGCAAAGCCCCAGTGTTGCATAATTCACATACGTATGCACACATGCACACTAGACAGCTTGCGTTCATAATAATAATAATAATAATAACAATAATAATAATAATAATTTTTATTTATATCCTGCCCTCCCCAGCTGAAGCCAGGCTCAGAGCGGCTAACAGCAATAAAAGTAACACAGCATTCTAAAATCAATATTCTAAAATCAATTCAAAATCAAATGGCAACCATGGGCTAGAGTTCTGTGAGGATCACCAAAGGAGGGGGTCAGACTGTGCCTTGGCCAAAGGCCTGGTGGAACAGCTCTGTCTTGCAGGCCCTGTGGAAAGATGTCAAGTCCCGCAGGGCCCTAGTCTCTTGTGACAGAGCGTTCCACCAGATCGGAGCCACGGCCGAAAAAGCCCTGGCTGTGGTTGAGGCCAGCCTAACCTCTCTGTGGCCTGGGACCTCCAAGATATTTTTATTTGAAGACCGTAAGGTCCTCCGCGGGGCATACTAGGAGAGGCAGTCCGGTAGGTACAAGGGTCCTAGGCCGTATAGGGCTTTAAAGGTTAAAACCAGCACCTTAAACGTGATCCTGTACTCCACCGGGAACCAGTGCAGCTAGTATAGCACTGGGTGAATGTGATCCCGTGGCAAGGACCCTGTAAGGAGTCTTGCTGCGGCATTCTGCACCCGCTGGAGTTTCTGGGTCAGTCTCAAGGGCAGCCCCACATAGAGTAGTTACAATAATCAAGTCTGGAGGTGACTGTAGCTTGGATCACAGTGGCTAGGTCAGGGCGAGAGAGGTAAGGAGCCAACTGCTTAGCTTGGCGGAGATGAAAAAATGCTGCCTTTGTTATAGCTTTTGACATGGTTTTGACACTGTAAGAACATCAGAGGAGGATGTTGGAGGAGGCTATTGGCCCATCTAATCCAGCAATCTGTGCTCACAGCAACCACCAGGATGCCTGTGGGAAACCTGCAAGCAGGAACTGGGCACATGAACACTCTTCCCTCTTGTGGTTTCCATCAACAGGCCGACAGAGAGATAGTGCCTCTGACAGTGGAGGAACAGCATAGCTATGCAGATAGCAGCCACAGACAGCCCTATCTTCCATGAATTTGTCCAAATCTCTTTTAATGCCATCCTAGCTCATGGGCAGGGACGCAGGTGGCGCTGTGGGTTAAACCACAGAGCCTAGGGCTTGCCGATCAGAAGTTCGGCGGTTCGAATCGGAACAAATTAAGTAACCTGAGGTACCACGGTAGGTACTGCTCTGGCGGGAAGGTAAACAGCATTTCCATGTGCTGCTCTGGTTTGCCAGAAGTGGCTAAGTCATGCTGGCCACATGACCCGGAAGCTGTACGCCGGCTCCCTCGGCCAATAAAGCGAGATGAGCGCCACAACCCCAGAGTCGGCCACAACTGGACCTAATGGTCAGGGGTCCCTTTACCTTTTTAAAGAAAAGTGGGACATTCTGGGATCAAATCAGAAACTGGGACAGCTTCTATAAATCCTGGACTGTCCCTGGAAAATAGGGACAGGTGGAAGGTCTGAGAGCTACATTTCTCAGAGTGGTTTAGCAACCAGCCCCTCTTCCCAGGGAACTCTAGGAACCGTAGCTCTGTGAGGGGGGAAAGGGGGTCTCCTGATAACTCTCAGCACCCTTAGCAAACTAAAGTTTCTAGGATTTTGTGGGGGAAGCAATGACTAAATCTCTTCTAAACAGCCTTGTGTGAAGAAGCTAAGTCGGTTAGAAGTAAGCATTTCCCCTACGGCTTAGCTTTCTGCAAGCTGGGAGAGTTTGACATAAAAGTAGAAACATTCATTCTAGATGCAGGATAAGCCCAGTGGTCTCTTGGGAACCTTACTAAACATCCTTCTCATCTTTGTCTTTCCCCCCCCCCCCCACAGCAAACCTTGGATCCCATTGATGAAGTTGCTGCTCTGATTGCTGCCACTGTTCATGACGTGGATCATCCAGGCCGAACAAATTCCTTCCTGTGCAATGCAGGAAGTGAGCTGGCCATTTTGTACAACGACACAGCAGTGTTGGAGAGCCATCATGCCGCCTTGGCCTTCCAGATCACCACACGGGACGATAAATGCAATATTTTTAAAAACATGGAGAGGTGTGTTTTCAAAACGGGGGATCTGCCATGCTTAGGCTATAGTCTCTACATACCTTGAAGTGATGTTGTCGAAAAGGAAACGGCAAGGCAACGCACCAGACAAAAACCGGCATTGGAGGGTGATATACATATTGGAGGTCTGGTAGGAAGGGTTGTGAAACAGCTCCCTAAGATCTCATAAACCTTAAGGGCTGAGTTAGATGGTCAGGAAAAAGCACTTGGGTACAGACCTTTAGGGACTATGCCACTCCCTAATGAAGGGGAGGATCACATATTGAACTGCCTCCCAGTGAAAAACACTTCCACCCTTCCCTGCATGTGGAAAGCTAGAACTTCAGGAAAAGGGTCCTCCCCATGTGCTAACTTTCCACATGCAAGGAAATTTTGATATGGCGAGAGAGGCATTCACACATATTCCCCACCTGCATTCTGGAGTACAGTGGTACCTCGGGTGACATACGCTTCAGGTTACAGACACTTCAGGTTACAGACTCCAGTAACCCAGAAATAGTGCTTCAGGTTAAGAACTTTGCTTCAGGATGAGAACAGAAATCGTGCTCTGGCGGTGTGGCAGCAGCAGGAGGCCCCATTAGCTAAAGTGGTGCTTCAGGTTAAGAACAGTTTCAGGTTAAGTACGGACCTCCGGAACAAATTAAGTATTTAACCCGAGGTACCACTGTACTATAGCCTTGAGAAGTCTCCTTCATTGATAGCCTGCACCTTTAAGCAGCAAAATTTAGTTTTAGATTTATCAACTTACTTTATAGTTTTCGAGTCATCCACTAAAATTCTAGTGGATGGATCAAAAGGGGTCCATTTCAGGAGCGTTTGAATTTGAATTACTGGTGCTGTTGTTCTGGTTCTGTTGTTGAAATAGGGTTTAAAAAAAAAAAACTATCCGAAGAATTAGTTAGAATGCAGTTCCTTTTAAAGTCAAATCAGTTGGTTAAGTGGTTCAAAACGCAAAGGATTAACAGACTGAAATTTTTTTTATTGGTTGACAGCTCTAGTAAACTATAAAGCTCTGCGTGTTGTTCGGATTGTTCCCAAGTTTTCAATCAGAAACCTTTTCAGTCAGAATCTAAACAAGATGGCCTTGAGCCCATGCATATCCCACACATCCCTTCTTTACGCAGGAATGAATACCGAACCCTCCGGCAGGCCATTATCGACATGGTCCTGGCCACAGAAATGACCAAGCACTTTGAGCACGTCAACAAGTTTGTCAACAGCATCAACAAGCCGCTGGCAGCGCTTGAAGAGAACGGGGTAAGAGGCTCTCCGGGGAAGGCAAGGAGATGCGAGAGCTGCAAGTGGATGTTAATTTATTACTTAATTTGGGAGCTAATTGGCCTGCAAATTTCACGCTGCTTCCTGAGGAGCAGAATGACATCTAGGCAAATCCTTTCTCCTATACATCTTTCAGGATTTTCCCTATTTCTAGCCAAGGAGCCAGTGTATTATTATTATTATTATTTTATTTTTATTATTATTATTATTATTATTATTATTATTATTACAGTGGTACCTCGGGTTACATACGCTTCAGGTTACAGACTCCGCTAACCCAGAAATAGTGCCTCGGGTTAAGAACTTTGCTTCAGGATGAGAACAGAAATCGTGCCCCGGGGGCGCGGCAGCAGCAGGAGGCCCCATTAGCTAAAGTGGTGCTTCAGGTTAAGAACAGTTTCAGGTTAAGAACGGACCTCCAGAACGAATTAAGTACTTAACCTGAGGTACCACTGTATTATTATGCAAATCAAATGTTGTTTTTTAAGAGAGAGAGAGAGAGGGAGGTATGTGGTAGTTTCCAGGGGACTTTACTGCATCCTAGAATGAAGGTGGTTTGCGCCCCACTCAAAACCATGCCCCTGGGGCTATGCCCCCACCATCGCTTCGCCCCTGTCCCATCCTTCTTGGCATGATAGCAAAAGGACACTGCCGCTGAACGACCCATCTAGTCCAGCATCCTGGAAGGAGGTTTGTGAATGGCCCTTATCTAAATGGCCATGTATTAACTTGTGGAAAGCTAGCCTGTTGGTAAGCAGAGATCTTTTCCCTAAGAAAGAAGAGGCTGCTGGGTGGCCCATCTGGTCTGGAGTCCTCTACTCCCAGTGGTCAAGCAGATGCCTAAGATGCACGACTTGAGTGCAACAGCTTTTCCTCTCCTTGAGATTCCCAAGAACTGGGATTCAGAGGCATTCTCCCAGCGGAGATGAATATAGCCATTGTGGTTAGTAGGTAAAGGTAAAGGACCCAAGGATGGTTAAGTCCAGTCAAAGGCGACTATGGGGTTGCGGCACTCATCTCGCTTTCAGGCCGAGGGAACTGGCATTTGTCCACAGACAGCTTTCTGGGTCATGTGGCCAGCAGGATTAAACCGCTTCTGGCACAACAGGACACCATGACGGAAGCCAGAGCACACAGAAACGCTGTTTACCTTCCCTCCGCAGTGGCACCTATTTATCTACTTGCGCTGGTGTGCTTTCGAACTGCTAGGTTGGCAGGAGCTTGGACAGAGCAACAGGAGCTCACCCTGTTGTGGAAATTCGAACCGCTGACCTTCCGATCGGCAAGCCCAAGAGGCTTAGAGGTTTAGTCCACAGCTCCAGCGATGGCCTTATTCCTCCATGAATCTGCCTAACCCTCTTTTAAAGCCATCCAAGTCGGTGGCTACCAGTAATTTCATCGTTTTAACTATGCACCCTATAAAGAAGTGCTTTATTTTATGTCCCCTGAATTTTCCAACATTCAGCGTCAGTGGACATCCCTGAATTCTAGTAACATGGGAGAGGGGAAAAAACTTCTCTTCCTCCAGGGCCGTGAATATTTTTTGCACACTTCCATCATGTTGCCTCTTGTCCTTTAGAGAGAGCCGTAAGTTTCACCTTTCCTCCATATATAAAACGTTTTTTTGTATGCACACATTTTAAAAGGGTAAGGGTACGACGCAGCCGTTGGATAAGGGCAAATAAATCACATTTGCTGCTGGGTTTTTCATGCCTTTTTTTTTTAAAAAAAAAAGTCTTATTTTCTTTTCTGTACCACATTCTCTAAGTGCCGTTTTAGGTCTCTCCTCGCTTTGCAGTTGCCCTTTTCATTTATTCACACCTCCATCTGTCTTCCTTGCAAAGCGGCTGAGAGGAACAGTTTCGGGATTTTGAGAGCAGAGATTTGGCATCTTCCAACAAATAACTTGCCAGTTCCGATGGGTTGGTTTTGTTGTGGTTTGACACAACCCACACACACAAACACTGTGCACCCCCCACCAAAGAAAGCACTTTCTCCTTGCAGTTAAAAGGGACATCTATGCTGCTAAAGGACGAAAAAGCTGGAAACTGAGGTCCCCGGCTACTCTGCTCGTCCCTTAATGTGTTTACTTTTACATTGTGGGTTGGAGGCTTCCTCCGAGTCTGCTGCCCTTTGTACACAACTGTGCAGGAGGTGGCTGTTTTTAGCTTCTTCACAAAGGGCTCCTTTGAGCTTCCCTTGAAATCTTTCCATTCATTCAGCGAGAAGTTGGATCAGGCCCAAGTATTTTGAAGTCAGCGCAACGAGAACTGAAGCCCCAGTTCCTTTGGTCATCTCAGCAGTTGGTCCTTGATGAACAATGGGGGTCCCATTGAAGCGCCATTTGGAAACTTGATCAAATGGCAATGCTTCACAGAGGGCCAGACTCTGGATTCCAGGCTGAATGGCTGGGCTCTTCCACGCAGGATCAAAGACTTTTTCAGTGGCTAAATTGGCCAAAAACAGCTGCCTTTCCTAATTCCATACTCATTGGCTTCATTTGAAATCACACTTTCCCCCCATAAGCTTTCATGGACAAGAGATGGGGTGAAAGCCATCCTTTAACCATTTGAATTTATGAAAGGGGAGGGAAAATATGGGGGGGGGGAGTAGTTGACAAATGAAGTTTGGATGATCGGGGGAGGGTAGATGTTTGATTGACAGTGATTGACATAACTCTTAACATATGTTTTTACTTTTTTAATGTTTCAGATAGTTGTTTTCTACTGACTATTTTATTATCTAAGCCACCATGAGTTTTATTACAATCAAAGATGCAGGTGGCGCTGTGGTCTAAACCAGTGAGCCTCTTGGGCTTGCCGGTCAGAAGGTTGGCAGTTCAAATCCCCACAATGGGGTGAGCTCCCGTTGCTCTGTGCCAGCTCCTGCCAACCTAGCAGTTCAAAAGCACACCAGTGCAAGTAGATAAATAGGCACTGCAGCAGCGGGAAGGTAAATGGCGTTTCCGTACGCTCTGGTTTCCGCCATGGTGTCCCGTTGCACCAGAAGTGGTTCAGTCATGCTGGCCTCATCACCCGGAAAGCTGTCTGTGGACAAACTCCGGCTCCCTTGGCCTGAAAGTGAGATGAGCGCCGCAACCCCATAGTCGCCTTTGACTGGACTTAACCGTCCAGGGGTCCTTTACCTTTTTACCTTAATTACAATCAAGCAGTATATCAAGCTTGTGAAATAAATAAATTAAAACTAATAATAATAGTTTATATGCCATGCATCAGACTGGGTTGCCCTAGCCACTCTGGGTGGCGTCCAACAAATTAAAACACAATACATCAAACATTGAAAACTTCCCTGAAAGTTTCATGACGTCTTGAGCTTACTATTCATGCAGGTTCCTTTCCCTCTCCCACAATACCCATGTGTGTGAAAGTGTGTTCATGTATCCGAAGCAGATTTTGATCCTTTAAAGCCGCTATGAATCTGTTCATGTTTAAGGTTCCCACAAGATTCTTTGTTTATACGTGATGCCTTTGAAGTTCCTGCACAGATGCTGATGGTACATTTTTGTCAACTTTTCGATAAGGGTGCAAACGGAGATAGCGATTCCATCAAAACCGTCCTCACGTCTCCCGAAAACCGGATCCTGATCAAGCGCATGCTAATTAAGTGTGCTGATGTTTCCAACCCATGTCGGCCCCTGGAGCAGTGTGTTGAGTGGGCAGGCCGCATCTCTGAGGAATATTTTGCACAGGTGGGTGAGATACGGCCAGCTGGAGAAATTTCAGCTGAGAAAAAGAGAGAGAGAGAGAGAAAATTCAACAGTGCTTAGTTTGTTTTTGGTTGTTAGTTTGTTAATTTCAATATTGTTTTGTGGATTAGGAGTGCTGTAATGCTTTGTGAATTTTATAATAACTTTATAACACGGCTTTTCTTGTGGCTGTGCTGTTTAATCTATTTTTAAGTTGTTTGGTTAATAGTGTTCTATAGAAGGTAGTTGTTTTATGGATGATTTGTTAATTGTTTTATATAATTTGTGTTGCAATTGTGATGTTCTACTCTGTTATTATTTATTGTATGAAAGCCTCTTTGTAACACGTGTGAGTGGCATAGAAATTGAATGAATGAATGAATGTTGATACACAATACATGATTTTCATAGGAGGTTAAGGGTATGTGGAGGTGGATGTGTCTTTCTCCCCCTTCATTTCTGACCCTAGCTCAGTATAATATCCTCCATGTTCTGAAATCACCCCCAAATGAAAGCAGTCAATCTATGTGTGCTCTCAGACCAGGTCACAACCACAACCCATTTTAAGATTCTGCATCTTTCTAAGATTATGCAATAATCTTGATTTTTTCATATGCTTCGGTATACTGCTTCTGGTGTTGATTTCTTTAGCCAAGAGAACATCTTATAAATGCTCAAATAAATAAATAAATAAATAAATAAATAAATAAATAGTTGAGAGCTCATTAACAATAACAGACAAAACAGTCATAACAATGGGTTTCTTTTGGGCGGGGGGTGTTTTTCAGACAGATGATGAGAAAAGGCAAGGATTGCCTGTTGTGATGCCTGTTTTTGACCGGAATACTTGTAGCATCCCCAAATCTCAAATATCCTTCATTGATTATTTCATCACCGACATGTTTGACGCTTGGGATGGTAAGTAACCTCTTATCCTCTTGACAGCTGCTCAGTAGGCAATCCAGAATACTATTAAGATTTGCTTAGAATAACAAGACTGTGTTGAAAATCTGTGAATTAATTGAACCCAAAGAAGAGGCCTCTAGTATGCAATGCTCAGAGCCATTGGACACTGTAGTGGTTCTAGGGGTTGCTCGTGCGTAAGCCGGTGCAAACACCTGGCTGGGTTGCCTGAGTGAACCTTTTCTGTCCGGACAGCCACTCACCCGTGGCTGTCTCAATCACTGGCAGAATCCATCGGAATCTTCCAGGAAAGAAGCTCTTTGACGCCTAGTCTCCTCCTACTCTCTCTGCGCGAAAGCCTTCTACGCAAGGAGGGCGTAGGCAACGAAGGACCCCTACTCTCCCCGCTGGTCCCCGGCAAGGAGTCATGGGACTGCCTCGCCGCTTCCCCCATCTGCCCCCCTTCTCCACTGGTGCTACGCTGATTCTCTTCCCCAGAAGATGGGCTGCCTCTCCCAATCCCGGGTCGCTCTCTGGAATCCCTCTGGATTTTGCTCTCTCCCTTCGGCACTGATGGCAGTTCCCTGACAGACACCTTCCCCATCTTGTCTTATTCCGCAGGAACGTAAGCACTTTGTTTCCTTTTTTCTCCAGCCTTTGCAGATCTTCCAAATCTGATGCAGCATCTAGACAACAACTTCAAATACTGGAAGGGGCTGGATGACAGGAAGCTACGGACCCTCCGACCTCCCCCCGAATAGCAACCGGGCCTCTTGGTGGTGTGAACATTGCCCATCCGGAGGCATTCCTACAAACTTGCATTTGAGAATGCATTTTCAGATTTGTTTTGGTCTCTTCAGTATTACAGCAAGGCCTTCCTGTACACAGCTTCGGAGAACTTGAGCGTTCTAAGAATGTCTTGAGGTCAGCAGTGGACTCTTGGCAACCTCCCACCTAGGGACTCTGTGTTGAGTGAGCCTTTCAAGTTGAATTACACTGGACTGCTGCGATGTCTGTACTGAAGAGGGTTTGAAAGCGAACCTTTTTTTGGTTTTGTCTCACATTTTTGGCATTCTCTTCATGCCAGATTTCCAAAGCTTGAAGATAGCCTCCTCCTTATAAAAGAGACAATTTTAACACATTAATCGGATCAACAAGTGAAGGCGGACATCTCCATCGGTGGTAATGTCTCAACAGTTATGAGGATACTTTTTAATGAGCACTTAAAGGAAGAAAAACCCCCGAGTTACATTGAATAATATTTGACATGCAAACCCTTTATGAAGGATTTTGGGAGGGGGGAATCTTCTGAAAAACGGACATAGCTCTATTTTTTCGCATTGCAGAAGGCGCAATCATTCACTTCTGAGCACTACTGAGAGCCAGGTCTCTTTAAAATGAGTTTAGTAGCAAATGTAAACAAACGAACCCACCCAACCTGCAAATCTTTTGAAGCTGATCGTTAGACATCTTTGATTAAAATATGTTTTATTTATTTTGTTAGATGTTCAATATTTTCTATGAATTTATAAAGACTTTAAAAGCCAAAGCCAACTTTAGATGCATTACAGATTTACATGATTCATACTCGTTACGCATTTTATTTTCATAATGCAAAACGCCGTACAATGAGGATACATTTTTATTGCACTGTAAGGATAGATGTGTATGTTGAAATATTGTTCAATTTTATGTTAATTAAAATAAGTTTTTATCAAAGGTCTCATTGGAGAGCCGTCAAACGAAATGACATTGGTCATATAACTTGTACTGTGACCGTAGCTGGAACTCCCCAACACTGGAGTTGGGACAGTGATCCTCAAAGCCCTGGTTTAGTAGTAAAACCAAAAGCAACAGACTCAAAGTGCCCCCATCATTCAGCCCAGACACTGAGGTCCAGCTCTGAGGGCCTTCTGGCGGTTTCCTCCCTGCGAGAAGTGAGGTTACAGGGAACCAGGCAAAGGGCCTTCTTGGTGGTGGCGCCCGCCCTGTGGAATGCCCTCCCACCAGATGTCAAGGAAATAAACAACTATCTGACTTTTGGAAGACATCTGAAGGCAGCCCTGTTTAGGGAAGTTTTTAATGTTTTAACACCCAGACGTTGTGTTTTTTATATTCTATTGGGAGCCGCCCAGAGTGGCTGGGGGAACCCAGCCAGATGGGTGGGGTATAAATGATAAATTATTATTATTATAGGTCAAACCCTGTTATCTCCAGGTGTTCTGAACCCCTGGCAGCAAGTCAGTATGCCAGGTTCAAAGTTTGAGGGTCGATCCGCACAAGTGAAGTCCAAAACCCAACGCCTGTGAGGGTCAGGAAAGGAGGTTCAGGGCCAATCCAAGTAGCAAAGTCCAGCAGTCAGGATACAATCCAAAGTCAAACCCAAAGCACAGCCCTGGGGAGGTCCAGGAACGTCCAAGTCAAGGCCTATCAACATGGGCAGTTGAGCAGACACAATGCCTCAGCTCTGCTGCCTTTTCTACTTTGCATTCTGATTGCAGCATCTGGGCTTGAGGAGACATCATCATCATCAAATCTTTTATTGGCATTACATACAAACATCCAAAACAAATCAGTACAGAATTTCCACTTCCCCAGTGGCACAAAACATTTGCTAAAAGAAAGGAGGCAGAGCAGTCTATCGTCACATCTCTAGGTCTCCAGGGAGATCAGATGTCTGCAGTGTATTTTGACGACGAAAAACCAAGTAGAGATATTTAGCCACTAACTTGGTGGGCTCCTGATCATTCCCCAGTAATAGAAAATGTATGACTTCCGACTCTGGTTTCCATTTGGGGATAGAGTTGATCTAGAAATTGCTGGCAGAGATCAGCATATAGTTTACAATTGAGAACCATATGTGGTTTCCACCAGGTGGTCTTCACATGGGCAAGTTCTTTCTCCTTCCACCCTGCCGGAGAACCTTCCCCAAAGGAGGTTTGATGGATTTGAATTAAACCTGGCCAGCGACAATGCCCTTCTTTCTTGAGGGTTAAGCAGAAATTCAAGGTAATTGTGGTTAGTTTCATGTGCCCAAGAAAGTTGAAAATAAAGAGGGGGACATGTTTTCTCTGCTGCTACTGTTAGTTCTCGGCGTTCAATATCCCACAACCTAGTTTTTATTATAGCCTTGACAGATGGTAGGGACATCGATGGCAAAAGTTCCACTGACAGCCCGAGTTGCTGTACCTTCTTGTTAAACTGTTGTTGAGGAGACATGTGACCTTCTCCTGTTTTGAGCCTATTCTAGCTGAGGAATCACAGAGCTAGTGATTCCCACCTGGCCAGCTAAGGAACTGGGTTGTGGGCCCTTGGCTGCTTCAGCCTTTTGGATTGCCTCACCTGCTGCTCCCTTTGCCCCAGAGCCTGTCATGATCATGAAGACAGGGACCCCTCTGGTGATGGGGCCTGGTGCTCTGGTTCCTGTGTCCTGGCCCCCAGCCCCTCGTCATCCTGCGTCACCCTGTAAATACTTCCAACACCAACCTCTCCCAAACCCCAGCTTGCTCCAGTGTTCCAGTCCCAGTTGCACCCCTCGCCTGATCTTATTCATCTTCCTCCCCGTTATCCTGCCAGTTCATGACGCCAGGTAAATGGACACGGTGATGGCAAATACCTTTTGCAGCAGACCAGGGCTGCAAAATTTGCCATCAATACCTTCAGAGGTATACAAAATGCACAGTGAACAGATGATAGACTTTCCAAACTGTATAGTAGATATGGTTTCAATCTGCCATATCTTTTCCTGTCCAAGTTTCATTTGAGAAGAATAAAAGGGACATCCCAGTGTACTCAGCACAATTCTCCATAATTTGGGTGTCTCTGGTGCAGGGAAAATGTTCCCAGGTGGAATGTGCTTCAATATGTCTTTTTCCCACCCACTGTGCTGGAGAAGAAAACTAAAATAGCGATTTAAAAAAAAAATGTTTTAATTCCCCAGTGGTTTGTAAACTTTCCATCCCTTTGACATTTGGAGGAAGCATTCTGGAAGATAGCAGAAGAAGTATGTTTAAACGTATATCTTGCAAAGTGTCAAACATTTTAGCCTATTCCTCTGAAACATTTTCTTTTATTTATTTTTATGCCATTCCATAGACCTCTGAAATTAAATCCTTTCTTGGGGGGGGGGGTTTAAAATACACCATGGAGATGCTTGTTTCTTTGTTCTCAAAATGTCAAAGTGTCTTCTGACCCAGCCTGACTTTTTGCTAATGTTTGTTTATTCTTAATCTCCATTCCTTGGGTGAAAAATATACAGGAAATGCAGTTTGATCACGTCAAGGCGCCCATTGTGGTGAAAAAGCCATAAACTTCCCATCTCTCTAGAAGTTAATGTATATTAATAGCACCCAAATGGAAAGGGAGCTCTGGGTTTTATAGATACCCAAACAGAAGGGGGGTTTGGGGGGCAATATATTTCCATTCCTCATTATTTCCCTTCCCCCACAGCGATATTTTAGCTTGGGAGATGCTAAAACAGATTTTAACCAATTTATTGGTTAGATTAATCAAATGTTGCGCCTTTAAATTGATTTTTTTTTTAAATTAAAAACCCTGATTATTCAGAGCATCTTCTTATACAATCCATGGGTTTGGTTTTTTATGGATATATAAAAATCTAACTGTTTTGATCTAACCTTATAAATTGGTCAATACAAGTTCCCATGAGAGCAACTCCCTCTCTGGAAACTGAGCCACCTGTTGGGAGTTACCCAGAGTAGCTGGGGCAACACAGTCAGATGGGCAGGCTACTACAGTGATCCATGCGACAGTCACCTCCAGGCTTGACTACTGTAATTCGCTCTACACGGGGCTGCCCTTGAAGCTGTCCCAGAAACTCCAGCGGGTGCAGAATGCTGCGGCGAGGCTCCTCACGGGGTCTCTGCCATGGAAGCATATTCATCCAGTGCTTTTCCAGCTGCACTGGCTCCCGGTGGAGTACAGGGTCAGATTTAAGGTCCTGGTTTTAACTTTTAAAGCCCTTCATGGCCTAGGACCCTCGTACCTACGGGACCGCCTCTCCTGGTATGCTCCACGGAGGACCTTAAGGGTCCATATATAGCAACACCCTAGAGGTCCCGGGCCCTAAGGAAGTTAGATCAGCCTCAACCAGAGCCAGGGCCTTTTCAACACTGGCTCCGGCCTGGTGGAACGCTCTGCCTCATGAGACCAGGGCGCTGCAGGATCTGATCTCTTTCCGCAGGGCCTGTAAGACAGAGTTGTTCCACCTGGCCTTTGGCTTGGAGTCAATTTGATTCCCTCCCCCTCTTTATTTTTTTCTTTCTCCTCCTGTGATGGGGCTGTATTTTAATGTTTTAATGTTGTATTTTAATCTTGTTTTTAAGTTGTATTCATTCAACTTATTTTTATTATTGCTTGCCCTGAGCCCGGCCTTGGCTGGGGAGGGCGGGGTATAAATAAAAAAATATTATTATTATTATTACTACTAATAATAATAATACTACTACTACTAATAATAATAATAAATTTTATTGTTGCTTTTGCAGTGCCATTCTCCAGCCAAGTAATGGGCACATACATGCATCAACTAGGGTAAAGTGTGCATTAAAGCATGAGTGAAATCAACTGGCAAAACTGCATTACATTAAGGAAAATGACTGCAAAAAAAATAAGGTGTTTGTTATGCAAAATTTCATGCAAAAACGTGCACGCTAGGAGAAATTAGTGCTTAAATGCTGGTGGATTTTAATGAGGGCATTTTTTAAAACAAAGAGATCACAAACTCGTGGACATGAGGACTGAACTTAAGACTGGAAAAATAAAAAAGGGAGACAAACTGAAATTGACACATTTTCCCATCCCAAAGCGAGGGTCAGCTCCCAGCCCTCAAGCCCCCTTTAACCTGGAAAAAGCAGTGTGTGCAAACTGGGCATTCCTGAGCTCTGTCTCAGACTTTCCTGGACTGTGCAGTGTGAGACTGAAGCCCCGAGAAAACTAGAAACTGCATGACCTCCCCGTCTTCTTGATCTGCCCCTGGAGACAGTGAGGTGGCTATATAAAGCTTGCAAATGATTTGTTTTCCAGGCAATGTGACATCATTTCCCTGAGCAAATTAATCTGTTAGAGCCTTTTTGTGACACATGAGCTCATTTGGGCGACGGAATGAAAGGATCCTGTCATTTCTACATTAGCCAAATGATTGCTTGCTGGTCCTCCTCCTCCCGACATCAAAAAGTATGAGATGGGATTGAAAAACATGGAGAAGAACAAGTAGCCCGGGTTTTTTGGACGGTGGCGGGGTGTGTGTGTATGTCATTGGAGAGACGGCTAATATTTTAATATCAAAGGATCAAAAGTTTATTTCTTTGTACAAATCCCTAAGGGGCTTAGTTGCAAGCATGCAACTTTCGTGATATTGTGATATAGGAAAGGTAGGTCTGATATATACTGAATTCCCTCATATTTTCACTGCGTCATTACTGTTTTTACCTTCTTTGAATGCTGACCAGCACATGTGACCAGGGTGATTTTCAGCAACACCGATGCACAGTCATTTTGTTATAACTTTGAGTACTCCATCACAGTTATACAGACTGCCTATTTTAGCTTAAAGTCAAGAGAGTTATAAATCCATTAAAAGGATTATAAATCCATTGGAATCAATGGGCTTAAACAGCCTTGAATACAGCTTGGCTTGTCTAACCCACTGGTGTCTTCTCTCCCTGCCCCCCCCCCAATAATTTTTATTGGGTTTTACAAATTTAAAATTATAACAATACCACAACACATCCACAATTAGAAGATTCCTCCGAATCTCTGGACTTCCCACCTTCTCTTCCATGGGTTCTGTTGTTAAACTTTTCCTACGGCATCTTTTTTCAATAATCCAAGTTTTTTTTATAACTCCATTATATCCATAGCTCTCGCTACATTACAAGCGTTCTTGCAATCCTGTTAATGTTTTCAATTGCTTACAGTGGTCTCCAAGGTAAATTATAATTTTTTCTCATTCCTTATTTAAGTTTTGGTTTCCAGGTTCCTGAGCTTTCCAGTCAGTTTTGCCATTTCAGCATAGTCCAGTAATTTAATTTGCCATTCTTCTCTGGTGGGGACATAAACTTCTTTCCATCTCTGGGCTAACAACATCCATGCAGTTGTCGTTGCATACATAAAAAGTCTTTTCTGCTCCCTTGGAATGTCAGCACCTACAATTCCTAATAGAAAAGCCTCTGGGTTTTTTTTTTTTAATAAAAGTTATTTAAAACATTTTTTTTTCAATTCATTATATATCATTTCCCAGAATGCTTTGATTACCTTACATGTCCACCACATATGATGAAAGGTGCCTTCTTTTTACACTGGTGTCTTCTCTAGCAGGAGTTCTGCGGAGTATCAGGCATGGGATCTCTTCATACTCTTATTCCTGAGATTCTTTTAACCTGAGATGCTGAGGTCTGAACCTGTTGTTAAGTTGTGGGTGAACATATCAGACGACACAGCGATTCTTCAAACAGCTCTTGTTTATTCACAGGCCAGAACAGAACTGGGCTGAAGGGTTCAGCCAGCCTGCTTATATAGAGCTCCACTAGAAAGCAACAGTAACCACTTTCTGTAACTATCCAATCACTGAACGTCACTTTCAATCCCTTATTTGCATATGTGGACCTGAGTGAAAACTATCTACAGTATCCCCCTGCTGGCCCAGGGTGAGAATTTCAGTACATAACACCTGTGACTTTCTGTTTGCAAAGCATGTGCTCTACCACCAATAGCCTAATGGTGACACGCAAGCGAGAAGCTTTTTATAGCAGGGGTTATTGGCACCCATCTGTCTTGAGAGACACTGGGGTGCATCTCTAGAGGTGAAGTCAAACTGCTACATTAGCAGCACCGAAGTGATCTCACTGGGGCACAAGTTTGGGCAGAGGGTATGGAGGTCCTCTGCTGCCCGGACTAGGCCTCACTGATGTCCAAAAGACAACAGAGCAAGACCAACTTGGCTGCAGGAGTTGCTGGAAGGAGGCGTACAAGGAGCCACCCAGCCATCTTAGGGGCTCTGATCTGGATTTGTTTAAGTCTTGCTCCTTAGGTTTTTCTTCTCCTGAAGGTAAGGTAAAAGGTAAAGGACCCCTGGATGGTTAAGTCCGGGCTTGCGACGTTCATCTCGCTTTCAGGCTGAGGGAGCCGGCGTTAGTCCACAGACAGCTTTCCGGGTGATGTGGCTAGCAGGACTAAACTGCTTCTGACGCAACAGAACACTGTGACAGAGGCCAGAGTGCACGGAAATGCCATTTACCTTCCCTCCACAGTGGGACCTATTTATCTACTTGCACTTTAACGTGCTTTTGAACTGCTAGGTTGGCAGGAGCTGGGACAGAGCAATGGGAGCTCACCCAGTTGTGGGGATTCGAACCACCGACCTTCCGATCGGCAAGCCCAAGAGGCTCAGTGGTTTAGACCACAGCGCCACCCAAAGATGTCCTGCGAGGCAGTGGAAGTTTAGGATCAGACAGGGAGGAAGGAGGGGAAACGCAAACTCAGAAGCCAGTTCTTAACCAGCGGGGATGGAAACAGTGTCTAGGTAGCCTGGGGAAATTTAATGAGCAACTTTTAACTTATGCTTATAATGAATGCAGAGTTGATTCAGATGTGAAATGCAGACACTTGTAAAAGTGTGTTAAGTGGGAAGCACTGTACGCACGAGGAGAATTCACCCTGGCATTGTGGTCGCAGAGACTGATATCTTGGAGAGCTACTGTCAGTTAGTGCAGGCAGCACTGAGCCTAAATCGATGATAGTGATTTAAATTTGTATACTGCCCTCCATCCATAGATCTCAAGGCAGTTCACAACATAAAAATACAATAAAAAAACTACAAAATAACAATAGCAAACCAATGAACTCGCCTCCCACAACACATTTAAAAGGGCATCAGATGTCAATCAGCCAAAGGCTTGGTTGTAGAGGAACATTCTCTCCTGATGTCTAAAGTTGTATAATGAAGGTGCCAGCCAAACCTCTCTGCGGATTGTTGTTGTTTAGTCGTTTAGTCGTGTCCGACTCTTCGTGACCCCCTGGACCAGAGCGTGCCAGGCACTCCTGTCTTCCACTGCCTCCCGCAGTTTGGTCAAACTCATGCTGGTAGCTTCGAGAACACTGTCCAACCATCTCACCATCTGTCGTCCCCTTCTCCTTGTGCCCTCCATCTTTCCCAGCATCAGGGTCTTTTCCAGGGAGTCTTCTCTTCTCATGAGGTGGCCAAAGTATTGGAGCCTCAGCTTCACGATCTGTCCTTCCTGTGAGCACTCAGGGCTGATTTCCTTCAGAATGGATAGGTTTGATCTTCTTGCAGTCCATGGGACTCTCAAGAGTCTCCTCCAGCACCATAATTCAAAAGCATCAATTCTTTGGCGATCAGCCTTCTTGATGGTCCAGCTCGCACTTCCATACATCACTACTGGGAAAACCATAGCTTTAACTATACGGACCTTTGTTGGCAAGGTGATGTCTCTGCTTTTTAAGATGCTGTCTAGGTTTGTCATTGCTTTTCTCCCAAGAAGCAGGCATCTTTTAATTTTGTGGCTGCTATCACCATCTGCAGTGTTCATGGAGCCCAAGAAAGTAAAATCTCTCACTGCCTCCATTTCTTCCCCTTCTATTTACCAGGAGGTGATGGGACCAGTGGCCATGAACTTAGTTTTTTTTATGTTGAGCTTCAGACCATATTTTGCACTCTCCTCTCTCTGCTGATACCATTCCACAAATGGAGAGCCACTGCAGAAAAGGCCTATTTTCATGTTGCCACCATCCAGACATCTTGTGCAGGAGGCACAGGAAGTAAGGCCCCAGATGATGTGTAATTGGTCCAACTTGGTATAAGTCAGCTTCTTGTGTTCCCATGTTTAAATTTCCTGTAGGCCTCTGATTGGCCATTGTGTGAGCAGGATCCTACGCTAGATGGGTCACTGGCCTGATCCAGGAATGCTCTTTTTATGTTCCTAAAGGCTCACAGTGTTTGCATGTGAGTTCCTATCTCTCTGCCTGTGAAATAAAAGCACGTTCCTTCCACACCCCAGAGTCAAACTTTTACAAGAACTTTTGCATGAGCGGAAAAGTGTGTCGCAAAAAGGACTTGGAAAGCCCAGGGAATTGGAGACTGCGAGTTGTGGACTGTACTGGAGAGCATCTCCAAACAAATATGAAATAATCCCAGCTGATTCATCATCTTGGGTGGGTGGGAGAAAGAAGGAGAGCAAAGAGGAATACAGTCCAAACTAAACTGTTTGATTAAAAAATATATACTTTGAACCACATCTGAGTCCAAGCCTAAGCTAATTAAACATCTGTGACATATTTAATACCGACTCAGTAAACATTGACAGTGTGGAGTGTATTCATGAGACTTTGCAGTACCGCTTAGACAGCAGAAAGGTCAAACACTGTGCATTAAGCACTTGCAACACAAACACCCCTGCCCCATTGCCCTATACATTTACATGCTGATAGCTTCCTCCAAAAACCCTGGGAACTGTAGCTTGTTATGGGTGCTGATAGTTGTTAATAGGACCCCCCCCCCAATTCCTTTTACCAAAGTGCAATTACCAGAGTGGTTTAACTATCAATCCCTCTTCACAGATAATTTTTATATGCAGTTTTGACTGATGTGCACATTTTTTACACACACTAACCCCACTAACGTAATGCATTTTTGAGACTTATTTTTAATAATTTTTGTAACTTTGTATGCATTTTTGTACACATAACTTGGCTGGAGAATTGCATTGCAAACTTCAAAGAAGGGCAAATTTAGAAAAAGGGATCCCAAAGAATCAT